AGCTATTTTTATCCTTACAAAATGTTTTCTGAAATCTATAGGTATTTTGTTTGATGTTAATAGAAGAATATGTGTAGATTTAATAACTTTTGTATATGATGAGAATATGACACAAAAACGATACGAATTCAAATAAATTTGGTTTTAAAGTTTGTGTATAGGATCTTGACATGGATCTTCAATCATGTCATATTCGTTTTGATCCATATAAATGTTAATACCATATGTTTATACAATACGATTAAGGCACAAAACCATGAATTATCAAGTTTAATTACATCTATGGTGTGGTCAAATTAAAAAGGATTATGACCATGTCCTTTTATTCTATATGTATCCTTGAAGTATGTATGGTTATGTGCTCAAATTTGGGGATTTATGTTAGTGAATCCATTGTCCATTGCCAATTAGGTCCTGTGAAGAAGTCATACTTTGCGGTGCATTAAAAAAGAGGTCACTGGCAATGTGTGGGGTTACTTCGTGGGCATTATGAATTGCTAAAAATGAGATGGTGTTTAATGGAAAACAAGGGGATGGGGATCAAATATTTTTTAAAATGCAATCATGATTTTGGATAAAGGCGATTGAGGGTGATAGTTGTACGGATGAGATAAGATGGTGGTCGAAGCCTAGAAATTTTGTACCATATTCGTCTACAAATAGAAATGAGGTTTCTTTGGCTGCTCTTAAAGAAAATGAACTGAAACTTATATCGATGGCTCCATTAGAGGCAAGCTTGGCCTTGTGAGTTGCGTTGGGGTGATAGAGATTCAAGTGGTTTTGTTGTGAGATTTTTCTTGGCCCATTGGGGATTGCGGACTTATTTCTGTTGCATTTTTAGCTATTAAAATTGCTCTTAAGGTGTTCATGTCTTTGCCATGGGTTGGGTTGAAATCTCTTGTTGTGGAATTTGATCCAAAACTGGCACTCTCTTGGATTTGTGATGCAAAATTCGAGGCTGTGGGACAAATGATTTATTCTAAATGAAATTGATAATTTTAGGAAATCTATTGGTGATGTATTTGGATTTGTTTGTTTTTTGGTTAAATTTAGAGTCCTACGCTTTTGAAAAATTGCTCTCTTTGCTAAGGATAAGATGAATGGTATGCATATGACTTGTTTTAATCATATTTTGTCTTTGATGATTGGGTTTGTTGTAAAACTTTGAACTATTATATCATGTTTGGTTGTGGCGAGGTGATTCTGTATAAGATGTATTGTTTGGGAGTGTTGAGAGCTAGCTGAATATGGGAGGAAATGATTTATTCTTCTTTATGTATTTCATTCTTAATGAATGAATTTGATTGAATTAGCAACAACAAGTAAAATTGGATCATACAATTCCTAATGTAATTGCTAAAAATGAGAAGAATAAAGATCCAAAGAAATAGTATGCCAAATGATTTGGTCCATTTAGGTTGTAAGAATTAGACCAATAAGATAAACATTGCTATGGATTAATTAACTTGTCATGCTACTTCTTCCTTTCGCTTTTTATTCTACTTCGTTGCTTTTTCCTTCTTTTTTTTATAAAAAAAATGCTAATTCCATATATATATATATATATATATAAATTAGAGCATGCACAAAAAACTATTATAAAAAAAATAAATTTTGTTTTTCTTATTATAAATGTTCCACATCGTGGGTTGGTATTCACTGGATGAAGATATTTACATGCTAAGGCTATATATGTTACCATATATGTAAATTTTTTTTTAATCATCTTATAAATTTATGTGAGAGAAGAAAAATCCAGCATAAATTACATAAAAATCTACTATATATGTTACCATGTATGCATGTTCTTCCTTAATTGTCTTATGAACCTATGTAAGAGATGAAAAGTTTACTATAAATTATGCAAAAATCTGTTATATATGTTACCATATATGTACTTTTTCCCTTAATTATCTTATGAACCTATATGGAGAAAAATTTTACTATAAATTACATTGATTAACTCTCTTCGTCTTTATCTCGAAGCCTCTCTACAAATTTCTTTCAACTCTTATTCTCATTTTCATATCTCACCTTAGTTATGCCTAGCTCTAGTTGGAATTCTGAGAGTAGTGGTATCAACCAAAATTTAACAATTCCCTTAAACATAATACAAAGACCATGTGTATTATGTGATGAAGTCCTCTATGGCCTTGATGTTATCATAGATCACTATGTTTCTCACATGTCAGCTTATGATGGGAGGAGTTATCCTTTCATTCCCCTTGTGCAAAATTTCAATATGCCTTCATCCACCCAATTGAGAAATTATTTGTTAGCTCAACATCAGGCACCTCCAAGAAACTACGCTTTAAGGCATCGCACAGCCTCACAATCTCGAGTCCAAGCACCCAGAAACGATGTCCTTGATGTTGTCCCTCTATCTGCCCGGTTGAGGATCGGATCAAGCTTTGCACTTGGTCCACAACGGTGGCTGCACATTCCTTTGCAAGTTCAGCCAGGGGAAAATGAAATCCCTACTCTTCTTGTACAACGAAGGAGGTATCGTAGCCAACAAAGGAGAAACCTTAACGAGAGAGAGGAAAATCAATGAAGGGAAAATCGAAACTCTGTTGATGGCATCGTGTTGGCTCCTCCTGTTGTGGTGAACTAACAACCTACCAAAGATGTGACTGATTTATTTGTAGATAAGGATGCTGGCAACGTAGATTGTTTTGATGATGATCTGGACTTGGATTTGAGTCTTTGAGAGAATCATTAGTTTGAGAATGGGCGTTCAAGACTTCAAATTTTAACTATAATAGAATTTCTAGTTGTTATTAATTTTGTTTACATTGCAATTGTCTTTTATTATTCACTCTGTCTTATTTCAGCTTTGTTTCTTTTATTGTTGTTATTGGTCATGGTTTATATTTTCCTATTCCTTTGTTTCATGGTCTTAGATGGTGGGAAAACAAGTTTATTATGATTAGTGAATCCTTTTGTTTCCTAAATTCTGATTTTAACTTGTTAATTTTCTCATCAAACCTAACAAGAATATTCCTTTCACACATATACGTATTGCATTCATATATAATAAGTACCCAAACAAAATCCTAGCTTTTATAAAAGATTAATATAAAAGAACATAAAACAAAAATGTTACATCCTACGTCATATTGATTTTTTCAGTCATAAAAAGCTTACTTTTATTTGCTAAACAAATACATAGTTGTAAGATAAACTTCGAACGTTATTTCAATTGCATAAATAATTTTTGTTTTATCATTGTCCTGAGTTAACATATAAGTGAGTTTGTATTGTACATCGATTTCCTTGATTTTCTAACTTAGTTAAAGTCTGATTTATAGGTATGTTGTATACAGCTGCAATTTCGGGTCTTGTATTGCTCATGTCAGATTCCTTAGGCTAGTTCCGAAGAATTGCTCGACAATTGTGTAGTTTTCAATTTACCCTAGGTGTGAGGCACGTTTTGTTACAAGTTTTATGACTTCATATTGACTTTGGAGTTTTAGACAATAAGATGTATCCTTTTATTCCAAAGCCCACGAGAGGCAACTTAGGTTTTATGGTGTCTTGCTATTTGCTGCTAGTAGCAAGTTGGCATTTATATTTCAAACAGTTCTTGTTTGTAAATTTTAAATATTTAAGTATTAAAATATTACGATCTTAACTTGGGTTATATGAATCTTATTTCGTAAAAATTTATTTTCAATGAGTAAAATTATAAGTTTCACATTGAAAAGAAGTTCTTAACGAAAAGTTAAGATTAAAGTAAAATCATAAATTTCATATTAATTGTATATTGAAGTGATATTAGATATATAAAAATTTATATTATTTTTAACTTATGAGACGCATATAAAATTGTATAATCCACAAATCAAAATAAATAGTTGGCACGGATCTTTCCATAAATCTCAATTCCATACTTCACATGGATTGACGTGGAGTGTAACTATTTGGTTTCATCAAGACTCAAGGCTATCCCCTTGAGTCTCCATTAACTTCAATCTTTCTATTAATGCCACGTTTTGTTTGAATAAAATAATAATTATTATGATTTATTAAAATATTTAATTAGTAAATATAATTTTGAAATAATAAAAAAATAAGTGATAAAAAGATAATAATATCTTTCATTATAATATATTTATTTATTTTATTTTAAAATATTATTATAATTAAAATATTAATAATTTAAATTAGTTATTAAAATTTAAAATATTAATTTTTATAATATATAATTAAAAACTTAAACTCTTTATAACAATTATAATAAGATTTATTTTCATCAAAAACAAAAAACCTCTTCATATAATTTAGTAAAATTTAGACCAAAAGATAAAATTAATGAATTTTTTTAATCATTTAATTTTTATTTTTATTGAAACTTTAAAATTTTAATAATTTAATAATTTATTATTAAAATATTAGTATAATTTTTTTATTTTTTTCTGTACTTGTATTTTTCATTTTTTATTTATATTTTCATTTAATAATTTAAATATTAATATTTTATTTATAATTTAGTATTATTATGACTAAAATATTAATTTTATAAATCTAAATTTGTGAATTTTGAAGGTAAGTAAAGATATTTTAATTCAAAATGTTTTGCACTTTATTTTTATTGAATGCGAAATATTTAATACCATGAACAGATGGTAATAGCCATTTTAAGATTTTACAAGGATTTGAAAGAATTACTATTTCTACTTCCAAAAGCAAATAAAATGAAAGGAGAAATTTTTTGAAGATTAGTGGGGAATGGCGTAAGAGTTGTTTAGTCTTTGATTGATTGTTTTGTGGTTTATATTATATCCCGACCATTTTCATTTCCTGTTAGGAAATGAGAAATCAATTTTGAGACTTGGAATGGAAGTCTAGAAGAACAATACAAAAACAGAATACAATGAAATAGAAAGTCTAGACCCACATGAACTGGCGTGGCACCAGAGAGGAAAAAGTAGGGACCCTCCAAATATTTTGGGGTACACGTGGCAAAAAAGCGGCGACCAGTGCCAGCAGCTTTAGGCCCAGCCTCTCCTGCGTTTCATGGGCTACTTCTCGCTTGCTCTTGGTTATCTTGTTTGCTCCATGGTCTTGCTTCATACACCAAACAAAACGCCACCAGAAAAGGAAAAAGAAAACCTAAATCTCTGAGCTCAGCAGGTATTTCAGCGTAATTTACCTTTTACTCATTAATATTTTTCCTCCTTTATCCTTTGCTGGTTTCTGATCGTGTTTGGTTTCGCAGAATCTTTTTCCTTTTTGCTGGGAGTTTTTGTTGTTAGTTTCCTGCTTCAGAAAATCATAGTTGGTTTTTTTTTTTTCTGATATTGAATGGGCTTTTGGCTATGGAGGAGGATTTTGGTTTTATGTCATTTTTAGGGTTGATGCTCATGCCTTCTAAGCTTACATTTTGGTTTTACTTGAGGCAAAAGTTAACAATATGGCACTTAGCATGTTTGCATTTTGCCCTTTTTTTCCCCAAATGTAAAAGTGGGTTACCAAACTAAACCCGATAGCTGTAAATTTATGAATTTTAAGATGGTTTTTTTTTTTTTTGGGTCATGTGATATTGAGTGTTGGAAATATTTCCACTAAAAGAATTGGGTAAACTTAGTATGTAGAAACAAAATAATGTATGATCCAGTTAAAGAATAGAACGAAATTTTGAAAGAAAGATTCGTTGTAGATATCTGCAATTTGTCTTTTGTTTCGAAAAGTTATTCTGATGGATTGTGAGTTTGGGATACCGTGCGTTATTTTAATCCCTTTCGTGTTATTAATTTCACAGTTATATTCATCTTCTTCAAGTTATCATTTTTGCCTTGCCCCAGTTTTATGCTGTTGTTTATTGATAACTGTTATAATGATTGAGATCAACTAAAAGGAACTAGTTTCTTCAATTTTGACAGCCCTGTCCCTGAATAGAGAAGAGGCAAGAAGTTTATGAATGAACTATAGCCCGTGCCATTGCTAGATGCTAATAAAATGGTATTAAAGAGCCAAGCATCTCATGCTATTGTTCCTGTGCTTACCTGTTCTTCTGAACCTGCCCAAGCTCTTGGTGATCATTACAATGATACTGCCCTGCAGGAAAGAGAAATTGAAGAACATGACCAGGAACAACTTTTGGGCTTTATATTTATGTGCAATGGAAGGACAAAACCGCAGTGCTACCAATACCGCGTTTTTGGTCTTCCTGTTGGAAAAATGGAGGTTGTTGAGAAAATTAAGCCGGGCATGAAGCTTTTTCTGTTTGATTTTGAATTGAAGCTTCTCTATGGGATATATGAGGCAACCTCAGTTGGAACAATGAACCTGGAACAAACTGCTTTCAATGGGAGGTTTCCTGCCCAGGCAAGTCATCTTATGCTTTTAACTTAAAGGTATGTACGTTTAAGATCTAAGCATGGGATGCACAAGCCTGGACCACCTTTATAGTTGGTATTTAAAATCCATGCTTAGATACTGTTTGGAAGGATTTTTAGTAGCATTATGCAGTTCCCCTGTGATATTTTCTATCCCATAACTTGGCTTGTTCTTCCGTACATGAAGGAACAGGATAGCTGTTGCTTGAATTGGCCTCCCTAAAGTTTGGACGGACATGCCATGGGATCACTGTTCTTATAAGTCTTACTTTCTTGCTAGTTTCTACTTTCTGTTTGCCATGTAGGAGCACCTAGGAGGACGAGGCTATGACATGCTTATATTGCCTTTATTGTTTTCAAATATAATCTGAAATATATATGTTTTGGCACAACCATAATCCCAATTCTTGAAATGAAAACAGACTTTAGCATGAAGCCAACATGGCATTACACCTATGATACGTGAGAAATAGGCTTTGTAGGACGTAATTTAATGACTTACAGGAATATAATTTGTCAACAAGCCATTGATAGCAGGGCTGTCAATTTGTGTTAGCATGTCTTAATTGTGTTGTGTAAAGGTATAATGGATAAAGGGGTTGACACAATCACGAAACGGGTAATTAATTGTGTCAAATTTCTTGACACGAACATAACACATTTATTACATGGGTTACATGACATAACATGATTATGTATGATTAACTTGTTTGGACACGACACAGTTAACTCATTTAGACACAATTAACCTATTAAAACTTAAGTTCTAATATGTATTTTAAATATTAATAATTCAATAAATGAGTTTAAACAGGTTAGATATATTGAGTAATGTGGATTAACCTGTTAATACAATAAATTAAACGAGTATAAATGTGTCATAGATAGGTTAGGTGTGTCAATTCGCATAAGATACAAATATTATTCATGTCATAAATGAGTTGACACAATTATATGAAACCCAAACCTGCATAACTCCGTGTCATGTTCACAGGTTATGTTCCAAAATTGCCAGGTCTAACTGATAGGTATTAGCATAGACCTTGCTCAAGTTGTTATTCTTTTGATTTTTCTTCTTGTAATGCTAATATGCTGCTCTTCTTTTACCAGTAGCATTCTCTTTTTAGTCATTGGAAAGCCATATAACAACTTGAAGCTTTAATGGTCCCTTTTGCCTGTATGAAATGGTCTCTAAGATTGTTTGAGGTCTATCTAGCAGGAGTTATACGTGCATAAATGAGATTCCATCCTACTTCACCATGTTTTTCTAATTGATTGGAGTATAAGGCCCTACTTCATTCTAGAAGATGATTTTCCAGTTCTTTATTCCATTTCTAATATTCATATTGTTTTTCTAGGTGGGGTTCAGGATCTATAAGGATTGTTTACCTTTGCATGAGAGTTCTTTTAAACATGCCATTGAACATAACTACCAGAAGGGCTTCAAGTTCAATCAAGAACTTAATAAGCAGCAGGTGAGATGGATTTATGCAACCTTTTCTCTCACCTGTAATCATTTTTATCATGCTCCTTTTTGACTGAATAACATTATACTATGGTGCAGGTGAGGAGTCTATTGTCTTTGTTTTGTCCTTTGACTGTGTCAGCACTTGGTTCTCTACAGCCAATGCAACATCAAGCTGTGGAAAATCAATCAAGGCAACCTTTTCTCAAGGATTCATGTGCACAGGTCTTAGAGTCTCAACATGTTCAGCAGATAGGTTTTCAGCGATATAATTGTTACAGATGCCTACTGGATATGAGCCATGTCCATCCAGTGATGAAACCTCAAGTCTCACTCGCTCCAGTGGATCCAAATGCAACTGGGAAGCAACTCAGTCATGTTCAACCAGTTTCAGAGCCTCAGAATATTCTACAGAGTGCCCCCTTTCTGCAGCAGCATTATTTTGGATCCACTACAAACATGGGCCATTCCAATCCAACTACAGTGACACAAGCTTTCCTGACATCAAATGGTCAAAATTATTTGGCAGAAGTTCAGCAGCCTTATGTAGCTGGAAACCCTACCCAACCTGTGCCAGACCGGTATAACAGGTGCCTTTTCCTTTCCATGGATGAGTTAGGATCTAGGAGTTGCATCTTTGGACCTGAAGAGAAGTGTTTTTGGTTGGTGACTGTTACTGAGAAACCGTTTTGGTTGCTTAAAACGCAAGTTTGTGGCTTTTTTTTTTTTTTCACTTGGCCAGAAAATTGTGGCTCTTAGAAGCACTTTTCTCTACTTCAGAAGTATGTATGAATACCCTTGATGAGAACATTGAAAGTAAAATTATACAGCAGTGTGATCTTATACCCAAATCCAAAGATAGGAATCCACATTTCCAGCTGCTTTCTATCTCTTCGGATATTATTTAGTTTTTGCAATGCATATTGCACTTTCTTTTTAAATTAAAAAGAAAAAGATAATAATGGTTCTTGTTTTGTGCAATTGCAGATATGGGAAAATGGGTATTAATCAACAGCTAGGCGCAGGGAATAAGCATCAATTACTATCAGAGAGAGAGGGGGAAAGTGTTCAGCAGAGGAGTGTTTACGATATCCAGTACTAATTCCCACCCATCACCTGCAGCCCCTCATGTATCACCATAAGTGTTGTCATATATGCAGACAGTGGGATTACCTGAAGCTGCAAATGGGACTCTTCCCCATTGCCTACTTATATCCCTTTGCAGGGGCAGCTCCAACTCATCATTGACTTACAAAGTGAGATGATGGCATCTCGAATGTGCAGGAGGTTAGCATAGTTTTAGTGACTATTCATTTGCAAGGTATATTACTGTTTAACATGGCTTTAATTGTCCTGCAAGGTGTGAATTAATGTTAGGAATCTTGACATCCTGTCAATTTATTATGATCTGTAGTAAATACCCAAAATCGAAGATAAAGGACAACTTTTGAGCTTAAACTTAAAGCAAACTTTTGGTTGATTGGTATTGTACAAGGACAAATGAAAAATTTAACAGTATGGTAAGTGGAGGGATCTGATCTGTAGCTAGCATTACAACTATAGATTCAAGTGGCAAAATGCTGACTAGCTTCACCGATTTATTCAGCAGTCTTTCTGATCCTGCTGTGAAGCTTTGTCGCCAATTTAACTGGCCATATCAGTACTTAACCATTTCTTATTCATCAGTAGGGTATACTCTGATGTGAAAAATATTAGCTTGGCTGATTACCATAGTAGTCGTTTCTTATTTTGCTGTGAAGCTTCGTCACTAATTTAATTGGTCGTGTCACTACTTGACCATGTCTTACTACTCATTAGTAGGCAGAAATTGATGCGAATATCATTGCAGCTGAATGTTGGACTACCTAGTGCTGGTTGATTTTGACGTAGTCCCACCAACTTGATATAGATTTTCCTTGTCAGAAGTATCGAATCTTTGGCCCTTGGGCTGTCGGGACCTCAATCTCTTTAGTATTCCAGATTTGATTGCCATAAATTTCTAAGTGGATTTTCTACCGTATGAAATCAGAGTTCACATTATATTTGATTATTCGCAGCAAACGTTGGTGTCTTGGCTGAAAGGTAGCAAGTAGATGCCTATTTGCATGTCTGCATTTACTTCCACTCCACTACCCCACCAGAAGTCATACCTCTAGTGGTTGACCTCTTGACCTTTTGTGCTGGTTGACTCCATGACACTTTTAAAGGAACATCAAGTGATCCCTTTGGGATTGGCTCCCAATGCCTCTAGCTTAAAATGTACTGCTACGTGCTTTCCACTACTAGAGGCTCCTGGTTTGCCAGACAGCTCTTGGATTCCAAGTGCTGCACCATGAACCCATGATGGGTTTTCTTTCTGTGTCTCTCTTTCACAGTATCCAAGGGCTTTGCATCTGAGGCATGGTCTCCCAACCACCTAACTTGTTTTTGAACTAGTTTTCCTTGAATGATTAATTGAATTCCAAATACCTTGCCGGAACCCGAAAAAAAAAAGGGGGCGAAACTGTGATAAATAGTGCTGTATATATATATATATATGTACATATATATATATATATATAAAGGTAATTGTGGGGCCATATTAAAAAGTCCTTTGGTGCCCATGGCCATGAGCGATGCTTCTGATTGAAGATTTGATGCCCACTTTTCAACACTAAAAAAAGTGGGCCATTTTAACCTACGTGGGTGTGGGTTCTTCTAATTATGCTTTGCTTTTAGGAGATTAGCAGTGAACAAGCCGTCGGCCGATAACTAATTGTGCCTCTGGGCAGTGTGGACATTTGCGTTTTCTCTGGCTTGTTTGCCATGAATGATGTTCCTGCCTTTCTGCTGCTGTTTAGTAGTAGCATAATTTTATTGACTTCAGGGAAAAGCAAGCTCGAGTACCTCTCTCTTTCTCTCCGCAGATTGAAATTTTACTACCAGTGCTCGTGAAAACTTTGGGACCCAAATTCCTTTTTCCAGGTTGCAGCCAGTGATAATTGAACCCTAAATTGGGTAAAAAGTCATGTACTCGATCAATTTTTAAACCTAATTAACTTAACTTTTACTTGAAGAAAACTACACTTAAGTTTTGCGATTGCTTGCTCTCACTCCACGGGCTTCAATTATACCATCTTCTTATTTTAATCTTCCTTTTCTAGGTTATCATGTCCCTATGACAAAAATGATTCTTTGCCAGGAAGTCACCTAACACTTGTGTTGTATGACACTACAAGATGAAAAGATATAAACATCATTTTTGAGTTTATTTTTCATTTAAAAAGAATTATCTCATTTTAACTCTTCAATTAAAATAATATGTTCATTTATCGACTCAAGATTTTTAAAGTAAACATAATTATAAGTCAACTTTTATGTAGAGTATCTATAAATTGAGTTGGGTTTGGTTTACTTTTAAACTTTAAAAGTGGATTCGGTTGTTCTTGTTTATTAAGTTTATTTAAATTAAATATATTAAAATATTTAAAAAATATATTAAAATAAAAATAAAGATTAATATAATAATATCTTAGATCCGACTTAAAAATCATACTAGGAATTATGTAAAAATAATGTTAATTTCATGTTGGTTTTGAAAACTTATTTAATTCCAAAAAAAAAAAAACTTTAAACTCCCAATCCCATCTGTACGTAGCATCATTGATTGAAAAGGTTCGAAAAATACAAAGTGCATGGTGATAACAGTAAGATATGTGGCTTTGCTAATTAATAATGGTGGGATTGCAGGTGTATTTTAATTAAAATATGAATGGCATCTGATCCGAGCGAGAGCGGGGCTTGGATTTGAAGCATGGGCGGAGCTGACAACTTTTGGCGCAAAAGTGAGTTCTTAAACACCCTAATTAGTTGCCAATCATGGCATTAGCAATGTCCCCCAAATACATTACAAGATTACACCACCATTTCTTATTAGGGGGAATAGGATTAATCTATTCAAACCTGTAATATCATAATCTATTTTCTTTTTGCACAGGAAAAGTAGGGTCCAGTAAACACATAATGTTAAACTTTACACATCATCATGTCTTACGTTCATCTCACCAAAGTGAATTTGATTAGTTTCTAAATCGGACCCCACTTCGTTTTACACATGAAAGAACCCTGCCTTCCGTTGGAGGCATTTTAGTTTTAATGTTAATAAACTCGATCTTCTTGGTAAAAGAAGAATATTATTTGAAAATTTTGAGAAAATGAAGGGGTCCTTTTCTTGAGAACAAGGTTAGGGAACGTTTGACACATTTTGGTTGGTTGTGACTCCAACGCCTCTTTTGTCTTAGTATTGCTGAAAAAGAAACCTCACCTGCCCCCAAAAACACTCGAAACATGAAAAGGCCTTTCAGCTGTGTGTTGAGTTGTTGAATTTCATCTGAAGTTGCGGCTAATTCTCTTCTCTTCTCTTCTTACCCAACTCTTCTTTTCCCTTCGTAGGGCGCTCCATTGCTTTATAAATAGAACGAACCAAAACGCGCTTTCAGCAACGCGTTTTTGGTTGCTGATTTCATTTTGGGAAAACGGACAGACGACAGAAAGTGGGCCATTTCCGAACATTGTCGAGGAAACTTGGAAGGCTTCACTATTAAAATTTAGTCCCCACATTTTCTATTTTCCCTTTTTTTTCTTCAAAATAACAAAAGCTCCATCTCTCTGTCTCTTCCCCCTCTATACTTCACTTTCGAAATACCTTTTTATCTATTTTCCTTTTTGGGTTCTCATGCATATATATTGTTTATTGAGTTGAGGAAACAGAGTCCGCGAGTATAGACTTTAGAGATGGGAAATTGCTGCTCGGACGTCGGCGGCGGGATGGCGGCTGTGGGTGGCACCGCCGCCTCCGCTGCCACTGGCAACCAAAACGACGCTGTCGACATGTTCTTTAAGTCTCGTGGAATCCATGGCCTCTTCTCTCAGATCGAGGTTTTTTTCCTACCAAACTTTTTTCCCTCTTCAGTTACTTTAGTGATAATGACTAAGTTTTGGCTTATAATGAACGGTGGAATTCACTTTGTAACCGAGTAGATGATTAGCTAATTGATTTTAACTCTTCTTTGCGACTTAATTTGATAATAATTTTCAAATTGAGAGAGTAGTAATTTCTAGGTTTATTAGTATTTAGATTTGGAGTCTTTGATTTTGATCATTGTTGACTAGATAAGCTTGTTTCTGTTTCGTTTTCTTATAAGTTTGTGAAACTTGCTATTTTGTGTTTGTGTGTTTTTTTTTTTGCAAACTCTGCTGTTGTATTGACTCTTCTAACCAAGACAATTGTATGCAGTTATCATTTTCTGCATCAAATTTGCAAAACCGGGATGTTTTCTCCAAGGTATTTACTTATATGTACTGCAAGAATCAAGCCTAGCTTAGTTGCTCTACTAGCAATAACGTAATTATGAATTTCAGTACCATATTTTTGCAGTACTATATTTGACCTTTGTTGTTGAAATTAAAATTCTTGTGAACAATTCAGGAAAGTGATTTTGATGATTCTTTGATACATCGTACTTATAGAAAGTTATAAGCTTCAGGGACAACACATGGTTGCATTTGTTGGTTGCTGGTACTAGAATGTGGAGGTTCTTTCTGGTGTGTGGTGACATGATGATGCCTTTGAATAAGTGGAATTAGGCATTAGGGAGTTGAAGATGAGAACCTCTGTGTGGAAAATGATACTTAGATCATCTTGTAGGGAAGAAGGGTATGGTGTGTTTTAGGGTGAGTAACTGTTAAGAATAGTAGTGTGACAACAGATTTCCAATCATGGCATGCCTCAAGGATGACATATGTGAGGCACTCACAGAATGCAAAGTACTTAAAGAACTCCTTTACTGAACCCATGTCTGACCTGATCAAGCAAAGGCTCCTAAAACATCCTAAGAATATGAGCTTGATGAATCCAAGAAGCATGTCACTAATTTTAGGGTTAATCCCATCATCTTGATTGCATCTTTAGCTTATAACATAATATTACAAAACTAATTCAGAGATAAGGACAGGTCAGCAAATTTATCGTAAATGAAAATTAAGCATCTCCGTAGGTTTAGTTTGAATGCTCAGTTGGCTCTTACAACATTTTCAGTTGAGGTTTTTGCATCAACTAATATTATGTACTTTACTGCCATGCTTTATTCTTTAGTCACAGGAGTCGTACTTTTGTTGCAGAAAACTTAGCCTGATAATCTCATAAGTTTTGTTTGCTTTAGAGTGATCCAATGGTGGTGGTTTATATTAAAGAAAGAGATGGAGCAATTACAGAAGTATTTCGTACTGAAGTAGTTCTCAATTCCTTGAATCCTACATGGATCACAAAGTATACAATTACTTATCATTTTGAGGTTGTCCAAACCTTGCTGTAAGTGCTATTCTTCCAATGTTTTTTTTTTTTTTGCTTGTCAGAAAAATGATGGTTTGATTTGTTTCACTGTAATTTAATTTGTTGGGTTATACTTGATCACAGATTTCATGTCTTTGATGTTGACACCCAGTTTCACAATGTGGACGTAAAGGTATATTTGAGTTATACTGCCCTTTCTTGTTCCTCCTCTGTACCTTTCCCCCTTTTTAAATAGTTTAGTTTACACACTGACAACTTGGAGGAAACATGTATAATGTCTTTGTTATATATCGTATTTATCTTTGTTTAGTTGTTTTGGATTTGTTCGCACTGAATTCATAATTTGTTACCATGCTTTTCACATGTTCTTTGATTTGGATATTACAAATATGATTTGACTTTTTTATCGAACAAGATGTACACAGTTTCTCCTCACATCACTTTGATAATAGAGCATGCAAACATGAACTTTTCAGTAGTTGCTTTCACCTTTGGACAGATGCTTAAGCTGGAGGAGCAGCAATCTCTTGGTGAGGCTTGTTGTGCATTGTCAGAGGTATGGCATGAGTATCTTTGTAGTTTTTTATCTCCTTCTGAATGCCCCTGTTAACCAGGGTATTTGGATGCAAAGATGTAATAGTATGTAACTGAACTGGAATGCCTTAGTTTAGTTGAAAACCCTAAAATTTGAAATAAAATCTGGGGGTCTTCACCTGTAGTTTTGCTCTACATCATTTAGTTAAATTACAAATGTTGATATAGTTACTCATCAAATACTTGTTTGTGTCTTGCAGATTGTGATCAAACCAAACAGGTCATTGACCTTTGATCTTGTTCGTAGAGAGGAATCTGTCACAGCAACCCGTTCCCAACACCAAGGAAAGCTTACTGTGCATGCAGAGGAATGCATTAGCTCAAAGACTACAGCAGAGATGGTGTTAAGGTGTTCAGATTTGGAATCTAAGGATCTCTTCTCAAAAAGTGTATGCACTGCTGATTTGAAGCACTCTTACTTTTGTTATATTTTTTTAGGAATATTAGTTATCTTATGGTGCATATGTGGACTTATACTGCAGGACCCATTTTTGGTAATATCAAAACTTGTAGAGAGTGGGATTTCTATTCCTGTATGTAAAACTGAAGTCTTAAAGAATGATCTCAACCCAACATGGAAGCCAGTATTTCTGAATATTCAACAGGTTGGAAGCAAGGTTTGTCAAGTTTTGCTTTTACTTTTTAACAAGATCTACTATTTCTTGAATTCGTTACATGGCAGTGCAATATTTGGTCTAATACTGGACTGTTAGGCCTTATAGGAAACAATTATTTTCCTTTCCGTCAGTTTGTTCATCCTTCCTGCTAGTAATCCTGATCTTGCTCAAAAGTCAGAGTGCTTTAATACTGTGCTGTCTGTGAATTGCATTTAGCTGTTTAAACATGCTGGTGTCTGCTTAAGATGAGCAGATGTTTTCTTCATTGATGCTGAGCATTTTTCATCTTTATTTCTAGCTTGTGTTCTGAATTTACATTTCTATATAAACTTGCAGGATAGTCCGTTAGTGATAGAGTGCTTTAACTTCAACAGCAATGGCAAGCACGATCTGATTGGGTAATTGTAGATCTTATTTTCTTATTTTCCTTTTCCTTCGGACATTTGCTGATGTGGCTTCTTTTTTGTTTTTTGGTTTTATCAGAAAAGTCCAGAAGTCGCTAGCAGATTTGGAGAAGCTTCATTCTGGAAGGGAAGGAGAAAACTTATTTTTGCCAACTCCAGTTGGGCATGATTTCCAAAACAAGGTTACACTTTATGAACTGCAATTATTGCATAATGAAAGTTTTTTGTACTTAGCTTTATGTTACTAATTTGCTAAGTTTGATGCAGATATTAAAAGGCAAGCTTTTTGTGGACAAATTTTCTGAGACTGTCCAACATACCTTCCTCGATTACCTGGCTGCAGGTTTTGAGCTGAACTTCATGGTGGCTATTGATTTCACTGGTACTTTCCGGTTTACTTGGGCTAATGTTACCATAGACAGAATTTTTCCTATAGACATGGTGTTTTTCTTTCTAAAGTCTTTTAGGAGATTAAATAATCAAGTCTGGTTGCCAGTCATGCCATGTATGGATTTATTTTTATTTGCCTTGGTCTTCCTTTTTTTATCTGCATTTGAGTTGTGCCCATCTATTAATATGTCAATTTTTTATGCTAAAAGATCAATTCTGCCTTGAGGCACAAAGGCATAATTGTGCTTTAACCTTTTAGTCATCAATGGACACATTAACATTTTTGATAATCTGCAATGGATACTTACAAGCATGCCATGCACTTGAACACTCCTGCTTTGCATTTCACAGCATCTTGCAATATCGAGCGTTTTACCATCTTTATGTTGAATATTTCAAACGATCCTTAGTTCTGGCTTTTTCATCTTGTCTTCGTGTATTCCTTATCTAAGTTTTTGTTTTATGCTCAGTTGGAAAAGTGACTCAGTGTACTTTGTATTTTAGAAATTGTTCATTTAAATTCTTGTATTGTCAGATCATTCTTGATGGGGATAGTGGCACTAGTGATCTATGTATTTTTAGCAATTGTTTAATTAAATCCTTGTAGAATCATTATCATCATCATGAACAGTCTCCATACTCCCTATATTTCTGATCAGTCCCTTAACGCCTAATTTTAAATTCATCTCACAGTTAACTCCGGTGATAATATGGCATGTTTTGCTGTTTAAGTTTATATGAGATTGAAATATGATATGGCAAATATTTGATATGTAGGAGTTCCACTGGTCAAATTACAGTGAGGTCTAAATGCTTCATTTACCTTAAGTCCTTGTTGTTACATATAGGCTGCGCTAAAATTTGGCCACTTGCAGTCCTTTGTATCAAATATTAGTCATGTCTCTTTTTTAGTCTTTGCTTTCTAAGTTTAACAAGAAAACATGTGACATCATCAATGAAGTTAATTGAGGGAGTATGAGCATAAAATCTGCACTACAGGGACTTTCTTGGAATAAATATAGTGTAGTGAATTAAACAAACAAATTTTAAGAGTACAAAGATCATTACTGCTATTATCCTTTCTTGTTTCTTTTTGTTTCCCTTTCCTGCTAGCTAGTTTAACAAGTTGTGTAAGATGAATCACTCAAAACTTGCTGCACAAACATAGGTCTTTGGTGGTTGTACACATTCTTACATCTTAATTGTTACTTCCGGTCTATCAGCTTCAAATGGAAATCCCCGCCTCCCTGATTCCTTGCACTATATTGATCCGTCAGGACGGCTGAATGCGTATCAGAAAGTATGAAATGGATCTCTTCAATAAATTTTTTTTCCTTTTCTTTTTGGTACCCAAGAAAATGTTCTGCATCTTTTTCCCCAGGCAATCTATGAGGTAGGGGAGGTATTGCAGTTTTATGATGCAGACAAGCGCTTTCCTGCCTGGGGATTTGGAGCACGGCCAATTGATGGTCCAGTTTCTCATTGTTTCAACTTGAATGGAAGCAGTAACTACTGTGAGGTGAGTAGTTTCCAGCATAAATTTACTTTCAATTCTTTGTATGCTATAATCTCTTACTCTCTGTGCCTTGATATTAACCAAATATCATTGTCTTTCAGGTTGAAGGAATCCGAGGAATTATGATGGCCTATGCCAGTGCCCTTTTTAATGTTTCTCTTGCAGGGCCAACACTGTTTGGACATGTGATTAACAAAGCTGCGCTAATTGCCAGCCAATCCCTTGCCAATGATGCTCAAAAATACTTTGTTTTGTTGATAATCACGGTAAGATATAGTAAAAAAGAATAAATAAAGGGATGGCTTTTCCTAGCTGCCAGCTGAAGTTTATATAAATGTTCCTGAAGATGTATGTAATTGGTATTCATAGCCAACATTCACACCCTTTAATTGTTCTTTTAGTGTTCTCTTCTGGATTTCTCTTTTTGAAGGACATTTATCGTACTAATGTAGCTGAATTTTTAACCTTTTTTTTTTCTTTCTCATAACAATAGGTCTTCTATATTCTTACTAGAAAAGGGTTGCTAATCTTTGCACTGCTTCTGATACTTTTTAATATTGATCTAGGATGGAGTAGTAACTGATCTCCAAGAAACCAAAGATGCTCTAGTAAAAGCATCAGATCTCCCATTGTCTATCCTCATTGTTGGAGTTGGAGGAGCTGACTTCAAAGAAATGGAGGTACTTATTACTTATCCCCTTCTATATCCATCTGGGTACAAATCCTTTTGTTGGCAGTGCTTGATTAGAAGATTCAATCGGTTTATTAGGTAACCAAATCTCTTTCACAGATTTTAGATGCAGATAAGGGAGAAAGACTTGAAAGCTCAACCGGACGTGTTGCCTCTCGTGATATTGTTCAATTTGTTCCATTTAGAGATGTACAAAGTAAGTCATCTAGTCAGTCGAAAGGTACAACGTGAACACTGATTAAACATGCGTCAGAAACATTTTCTTGTCAAGGATGTAACATTTGTTGTTCACTTGCAGGCGGAGAGATTTCTATTGTTCAAGCACTTCTAGCAGAATTACCAACTCAATTTTTAACCTACATGCGAAGCAGAGATATTAAACCAAGCACTTGATTTTGTAAAGCATTGTACATAATCAAAATTATTCTTCTGTTTTGGGTGTTTTGTCACGCCTTGACATTGCCTCTTGTCAATGCCACCATGGTTTTTTAACGAGGCAGCTTGTACACAAGTCTTGCATCAAAGTCTCTTCAGAGACAACAGATGGATATATTGCGTTATCAAGATGGATTGGAGATTGATCAGGTCAACAAAGACTTTGCCGTTGCGCCTGTCTGCTAGCTTGCCCACACGGCTGACAGACAGCACATTCTTTGTCATGTCCACCGTGGGTTGTAGAGAGACGGGATTTGCAATGGGGGCAGCTCCCCCACCAAGAACTCCTTAAACTTTTCGGTACAATCATGTAACTACCATAAGTTGAAGAAAAGTTTTTAAGTGTTACATAACTACCAATTTCCCTTGAGAAAATTTATGGTACTTTCTATTTTTTGGTAGCTAAAATAAATTATATGTTGTGTGAGTGCCTCATGAACTATTTAAATATTTCTCCCCTGGGCTGGGAACCAGCTGTAAAAGCTGCACCAAAGAATCAATGAGCTTGTCTTCGGAAGCAAGTTACACTCAATGTGAAGAGCACTGATTGATCAGAATTTCATCCCCCCATTCCTGCGGTCAGACAAACTTGTGTAGACGGTTGTTCATGTGATAATATTGCTACACGATGAGACTGTCAATGTCATGGAGCCTAATGTGTTGGGCCCATGTGGCCCAAGAATTTGAAATCCTGCCTGCTATGAGACTGGCTGTTGGCCCATAGAAAGGAAAACAAAATGAATCCAAATAAAGTAACAATGTGTAATATTATCAAAATGGTATATATTTATTTTGGGAGGTCAACGTGGAGGGAATCCTGATCCATGTAACAGCTGCGATACTAATGTTACGTTTGGTTCAAGAAATAGATAAAAATTAAATAAAATAATTATTACATAAAAATAAAATAAAATAAAATAAAAATAATTATTATGACTTATTATAGTATTTATTTAATAATAACAAATTTAGAAAAAAAATAAAAAGTAAAAAACAAATATACCCCTCATTATATATAATTATTATTTTATTTTATTTTTTAAATATTAATAATTTATAATTTAATTAAACTATTAATAATCAATCATTTAAATATTAATATTTTATTTATAATTTAATATTATTATGATTAAAATATTAATAATTTTAATTTATTTTCATATTTAAAATATTAATTTTATAATATGTAATTAAAAACTAAAAATTTTTATTATAATAATATTTATTTTTTAAAACAATAAAAATACCTTTTATGTAATTTAGTAAAATTTATACCAAAAAACAAATATAGCAAGATTTTTCTTTCTAAATTATTTATTTTTATTTTCATTAAAATTTTAAAAAATTTAAAATTTAATAGTTTATTATTAAAATATTATACAATTTTTTATTTTTTCTCTATTTGTATTTTTATTTTTTATTTATGTTTTCATTAAAAATTTAATATATTAATAATTTAATAAGATAAACATTAATATTTTAAAATATTACTATTTTATTTATACTTTAAACATTATTATGATTTAAATCTTAATTTTTTTAATTTATAAATAAAATTTTACTTTTTATTTCAATTTCTTTTCTTTTTTTCCTTTTTCCCTTCTTCTTCTCTATGGTCTGCCACCGGAAATGTGGTTGGTGTAATGAAATGCCGATCTGGAGTAAGATGTGGCCGAATTTGGCCACTAGGGTGCCAGATCGGTGCTTCTCATAGCAAGATTTGGCTGTGGGGATCTAGTCGGGAAGCACAAGATCCAATGCTTCTCATGACCAAATCAAGCCATGGATCCCATATCCGACAACTCCTTTGTTGAATTTTGCCGAAAGTACTAAATCGATGTTTTGAACCATATTCGATCATGAAACAGTCACCACTACCATTATCTATCGCTACCATGGTCATCTCCAGTGATGAGTACAAGTTAGAGAGAATGATAAAGGTAAGAACTGAGAGAAAGAAGATGGAAAAATGAGAAGAAAAAGAAGTATTTACATGTATAAGTTTGTAATATTTCATGGCAATGAGGGGTATTTTAGTCTTCTAAAATTTAAAAGTTAGTTCCCACCCATGGAATAGCAAATACTATGAGAGGGCTTGGGTTTAGGAAAGCATAAGTTTTAACCATTTTTAAAGAATAGCAAATATTAAAGAATAGCTATTCCTTTTGACAATTACTTATCAAACAAGGGTAAAAAAAAACATGGGAATAGATAGGGAATAGCACCAAACATGCTATAATTTGTTTATATAGCCAAAAGGGAAAGATGAAAAGTAGTAAAAAAGAAAACAAAATCAATTAATAAAATGTATTAACTTTAAAAAGTAGATTGCATTTGAGTATTTGATTCATTAGTTAGTACATGATCACTCACTTAAAATGCAAAGTTTGAATTCTCTTTCTCTAAATTTAAAAAAAAATTAAATAATAAACTTTGATGTGGGAGTGGGTGTAACGTGATGACTAGTCTTAAATTGGGCTTAATTGAAATCAAATTCCACACAATTGTCTTTATTTCAGGTCAACACTTAGTCAATTCCATTTGGAAAAAAGACCATCAAATGACAAAAACGAGAGGTTGGAACTCTATTAATTAAATTAAAAATTATGTATTAATTATTGAATTAAATTATAAAAAAACCCTTTTTTTCCACTCTAGTACAAGAAGACATGAGGGTGACTCTTATCGGCCACCCAACATTCCAACTAATTCCAAAATCAATGCTTTTGTTTCATGGGCCTTTGGTTCCTTTATTGTTCCTGCCCCGAATTTCATATTGATTTGGTTTCAACTTTCAAAGTCTCAAACAACCAAATTTTGATTTGAGTTAGACCAAATATTGCTGTACTTGATGGGAGCAGAAGTGGGATTAAATATATAGATTCTAGGTATCATTTTTTTTATCCCTAAAAAATAATAATTATTTTTTTAATTGAGATGTTTTTTTCACTCTTAAAAAAAGCTATTTTTTAAAAATAATTATTTTTTTATTTTAATTATTTTAACTTTAAAAAAATTAAATAAATTTATCTTTAATGAAATATTTTTATATTCAAATTACATAATATAAAATTTGAATCGACTTAGAAATGGTAATTAAAATAGCTCCATCAAGAGAAAGTGCAAGCATGAAAGGGAGAAGAATGACAAGCTCTGCGACCTCGGGAGTGATAGATGGGACTATGCTTCAGTTTTATACAGATGATGGACCAGGGCTTAAGATCTCTCCAAATGTCGTGCTTGTCATGAGCATTGGTTTCATTGCTTTTGTTGCCATTCTTCATATCATGGGAAAGTTATACTTTGTTTGTAAGGAATCTTGAAAAGTGTATTAACATTAACAAAATTAAGTTTCAATATACTAATTTTCAATTTTACACTGATGGATTTGATTTCTTTCATATTTCTTTATAATACTAATATATTTTAATTTTTTTTACTAAAAAGATAAATAAAATAACTAAAAACCTAATTATCTAAAGTAGAGGATTTTGGATAATATCTTTTTATTCAAATCCATTTCATCTATTAAATAATTCAATATATATTCATTTCTATGTCAAATTCCTTTTTGATTTTAAATTTTTATTTTTATGGTAAAAGTGTTTAACTTTAAGAGTTTATGTCCCATTGAAATATAAGATAGAAAACAAGTTGCACATTATATTTAACAAATATTATTATTACATGTTATGTTTAAAAAAATATTATTATAGTTGAAAAAAAAGTTAGTTACATGTTTTAATTCTAAGTATTTATGTTGTAGTAAAATACGAAGGAGCAAGTTACACATTATATTTAATTAAAAAAAGATGTTACGCTTACAAGTTTAAGCAGATGTTACGCTTTAGCAGAACATGTTACATACCAAAACTTTAGCAGCAAGTGTTACATACTAAGGTTAAACTTTTAGCATTAAATGTTACATGCTAAAGCTAATATCATCAAATGTTACACGCACCAAAACAAAAGAAGAAGATGTTACACATCAAGGTCAATGTTTCAACACCAAATGTTATATACCAAAGCTTTCTTCTTCTTATTGATGTTACACACTAAGACATGAATCATTTTGTTATATGCTAAAGCATATTCTATTAGATTTGGATTATAGAAAAACTTAATACTAATAAACTCAAGAACTTATTGTTACTCACCATGTCATGCTTTTTGGTTTGTAGATCGACGATAGAGTGCATTGTGAATGTAAATTAATAAATTCAAGAATATGTTATTACTTTCTATGTTATACTCTTTGGTTTGTAAATCAAACACGATTTAGCAAGATGACAAGAGATAAAAAGAGATGGTGATGGTGGTTAAATTAGAAAAAGCTGAATGATGAGATAGAAAAATAAAGAGCACAATATAATGGGAAGTACAAAGACAAATGGGAAGAGAGAAAAATTGGTAGCATTAAATTTGTTTGAAATTGTTTTAAGGTATTTTTGTCATCTCGTGACTAATTTTATTTAAAAACAGTTAAATTTATTTTGATGGTTATTTTTGAAATCGTCTTATCAAAAAGACTATTTCTCACAAGCACTAAAATATTTGGTTCATTAATTAATGTATAAACTTTTTATTTAAAGAGTAAGATTCAAATACACTTTTTCTTAATTATAAAAAAAATTATTATTCCTCACAATTTTCTCTAGATTCTTTTATTGTGAGTGAAGTGTTTGGTTTGAAAAGAATATAAAGGCCTATTATTTTCATTAATTTTTTCCGTAGGCTACACGCTATCAACTTGTATTCGTTCATTCATTCTTTATAATTGATAAATGTATATAGTAAAAGCTTAACATGTGAAACCTTTACCTCCATTTCTTGCTTTTTTTTTTATAAAAAATTATTTTTATAATATTTTTAAATAAATTTTTATATTTTTATTTTAAATCAAATAGATTTTTATAATTAAGAGTTAACTATTATTATTTATTGTTTTATGTCATATGATGTTAACATAACATGTTGACATGTCATAAAAAATGATGATGTGACATAATGAGATGGTCAATGTGAAATTTTTCATCATCTACATTAACGTCATATAAATGTCACATTAACATCATGTGAATATAAAATAATAAACAACATTGTGACTGATAATAATTAATCAATCGTTAATCATAAATGATTTATTTAACTCATGTTTTAAAAATATAGATATTAGATTAAGCATAATAAAAAAATAAAATTTTTTAAATAATTTAAAAACTTTTTAAAACATTATACTTTTTTTTTATAGATTCACTAATTAAGTTTTGGACTATTTTTTTAAAAATAACCTTTCATATATATATATATATATATTGTAGTCTCATTTTTATTTTCGAGATAAAATATGAAATTGAAAATCTTTTAATTGTAATTATTGAGTCAATTCCGTTAGTACTAGGCCTAGCAGTTTAGAAGCTGGTCTAGTCACTTCATTAATTGTGCTATAGGTTGGGCGACTCTAGTTTCTGCATTTACACCTATAATGATCTTTATTATCTGCTACGTCTGAAATAATTAACAACTTCACTCTTCATTGAGGGAAGTCACATAGTTCAATTAGTTAAATTAAACGATTAGGGCCCTACATTTAGCTGCTTTAACTCTCATTAAGTCTTGACCTCACCATTTAAATCTCGCTTAGATTGCCTAAACTTCAAATTTTAGCTTACTTCACATTTCCTTTTATTTTTTTTTAAATGAGAAGCCTTTTGCTTAAATCTTTCACTCTAAAATTAATAATAAATAAAAAAATTATTAATATATTTATTTTGTACAAAAACAGAAAAAAAAAAAAGAAAAATTAAGGCAGCGTGGGCCTGGGAGATTTATAGGGACGGGAGTGGGGAAGCGTACTAATAAGTAATAACCATCTACTATTATAAATAGGTAAGAAGTTATTGGCCATCGTCTTCAAAATAAAAATAATAAAATATTCTCAATTTCTTGATTTAAGTCATAATTTTAAGTGAATTTATTAATTTTTAAAATAAATAATCGGTTTTAAAATTTTTTTTTATTAGACATATAAATTTAACTGTTAATTTATGATTAATATTTTTATTAGATTGATGACATAGTAATATTGAATAAATAATTTTATTTTTTATTAATTTTAAAAATTAATACATTATATAAAATATAATTTTGTTTCTTATTAAAAATAAAAAACTTACCTCCTAACTCTTTCTCAACCGGAGTGCCAAATCCAGCTCTGATTAGCGAGCACCAGATCTAGCTCCGATTGAATCTGCCTCCCCCCATGCTCTACCCCCCAACCCTCGTCCTCTCCAAGGGTTCCCGACTGTGGGGTGGCCCAACTCCCTTGAGGAGCACAAGATCTGCGCTCCCTTGGGGAGTATCGGGGGTGGTAAGGGGTGCATCTCCCTGGGGAGCATGAGATCCAGGGGCGGAGCGTCCTTTATGAAGGGGGCCATGCCCCCCAAATTTTTGAAATTTTTTATATATTATATATTTTTTAATAATTTTTAAATATATTTTTTATTAAATAATTAATATAATTAAAAAATAATAAAATAACCTCATAAACTTCATTCAATTTTACTCATATTTTTAATTTTTTTTAACTTTTTAAATTTCTTCATTCATATTTTTTTCTTTTCTTTTCTGTTCTTATATTACGAAATTATAAAAAAATAAAGTTTTTATTTATTTAATTAATTAATTAATATTATTATTATTTATTTTTTTCAACTCTATTCTATTTGCTCATATATTTTAAGTTTTTATAGATTTTCTCTTTTAAATTTCTATGAATCATCTACCATATTCTTTTTATTTTTTGTTATATAAGTTATATCTTCCTACTTATCATGGTATTTTATTTTTTGTTATGTGGATTTTATTTTCAATAATTTTAACTTTTAAAAATTAAAAAATTATTGAATATGTAATTCTCAAATATAGGTTCTAGTATTGCATTATTGGTTGTTGTTTAAAATTTTAATAATATATTATTTTTATTAATCCTAATTATATAAGAAAAAATTATTTTGAGTATATGTTTTTAATGTGCTTTACCTTTTATATTTAGTTGAAAGGAAATTATCTTTAGTATAAGAAGAAATTGTTAATTATATATATCGTATTTAACTATTTATATTTTATGCATTATAGTTTAATATTTAGTATTATAAATTTAAATATAATAAAATAAAAATATTAGATATTGACTACATTAATTTTTTAATCGTTTATATTGAAAAAGGTAAAACTTTGAAATAAAATGAATGATAAATTTCTTACAAATAATTTAGTTATTTAAATTAAAAAAGATATTACTATTATCGAATAAAATTTTTCTAGAGCACTATTATAAGTTTTTTTTTATTTACATGTTATAAAATTATTATTTATTATAAATTTTTTTATTATTAATGGTTAAGTTCAATATATTAATTTTAAAAATTTTTAACTTTTATTATTTTTAACATTTGGTCCCTCCAATAAAAATTGACTAGCTTCGCCTCTGATGAGGTCTATACTCCCTTGGAGAGCATTAGGCTTGGGGGGGTGCAAGATCCGTGCTTCGGCTCTTTTAGGGAGCACAAGGGTGGGGTGTGCAGGGGTGGTAGGTCAAGAGGGTAGTCGAGGGCTTAAAAAAAAATAGTGAAAAAGTGATAGAAATAAAGAAACGTAATTTTGATATTTTACACTTAACTATTAATGTCGTTTATGCATTTGGAATGAATTATTTATTTTAAGAATTAATGGACTTACGCAAAAGTATGATTAAAAGTTAAGAAAGAATATTTTATTTTAAAATATAATTATCACATTATACATTGCCTAACTACTTAATTATAAGTAGGGCAGAATGAACAAGGTTAATGCTCATTATTAACCAAGTTATATCAACAAGAAACTCTGAAATAGTCCTTTAAAAACTTAATCAGGAACATTTTTTAAATTTATTTTATTTCATTATGGTATACGATTAAGAGCTGGTAAATAATATCACTCATATGTTATCTATGACTTTTAGTTTCTATATATGATTTTTTAATTATTTTAATATATATTGATGGGATTATATATGTGTGTGATATGGGAATGTTCGCTCTCTTTAGTTTTTGTGATTTAGTATTGACAGCTCAAAACTCAAAAACTCTCACTTCCTTTAATGAAGAGACACCACAGCTATATAGGTTACAATATGGTCATTACCTAAGCTATTTTAGGCAGTTGTATGCGGAAAACGTGTGTAGATGTCTTTCTTCTTACATATTTAGAGAATTGGCGTGCATTTATATTTATTGCATCATATCTAATATTTTTTATATGATTTATCATCTATTTGTATGCACAAATATATAATTTTCGGCTCTTATATTTAAAGATGTTTTTAAATCCTACAAATTAAATGAAGTAAGATCCATGCACTCTTTGTTCTTGGCAGAAAAAAAAAGAAAAAGAAAGAAAGATTCATGCAATGCTAAGGCCTGATACATGCTATAGTAGAGCAGATAAAATTGATGGTTAATATATATAACAGATACTAAATTAATTAATTTGAATATAACCAAACATTGGTTACATAATTCTTACTTAAAAAGCAAGGGAGTTCGATTTTTTTTTTTAATTTTAAAAAAACTAATTTAAAAAAGTAAAGAGTGGAGAGAGAAAAACAGGACTATAAAAGTTGGATAGAGGATTTCAGCATTGTCAGCTATCTCCATCCCTTGTTCACACTTTGTCTGAAAGCACATATAAAATCCCTAGCTACAAAACTAGTTCCTTTCTCCCACTCTTCGCAGCTCCCACCTGCCATAGCTAACACATATACATGCATACAATTTTGCTGCTTCTTTTCCCTTCATTTCTTGTGCCTTTTTTTGATCGAGTTTCCATCTTCCATGTTTATTGCTTTGATTAGGCTGAGAAACTATTCTTGCTTTGTTGCTTTTGATATATATATATAGAGCAAAGGCATATATAAAAGGGGAAACCCTCAAAGACTTCTAAAGTGGATCCAAGACAAGGGAAGAGACCACTCTCACCTGATGAATCGGAAGAGAAAGAGGAAGATCATATCTTCCCTGTCTACTCGGCTAGGTCTCAACAAGACATGAACGCTATGGTTCAAGCCCTAGCTCAAGTTATTGGAAACAACAACAACAACAACAATAACAGTAACAACAACCCATTCCCACCGCATGATCAACACCCTACGTACCAATCTGACACTGCTGATCAGCAAAACCAATCCCAAGATCAAGGTATATATGTGTTGGTTTCCATCTCTTCTTATTAAAGCTGTTCTTTTTGTGATTATTTCCTGATTATCATTAACACTTGCAAAGCCCTTCTTAATTACTATATTTTTCTTTAAAAAGAAAAAGACAAATGATTGAGAATGGATTTTCATATGATTGCATGTCTTCTAAAGGTATTCAGTACTTCCAAGTTCCACGAATAACGCATTTCTTGCTTTGATTTTTTGTTCTTTTGCAAACCAAGATTTATTAATAAAAAGAAAAAGAGAAGAAAACAGAAACTATGGATGTTAATTTGTGCCCACAGGAAGATGATAAAGTCTAAATGGTATAGATTTTCACTTATTTTCTAGCACAATTTGCACGAATTTTTGTTTTTTGGAAATTAACTTATATTAGCCTCATTATGCGTTCCCTCACTCTAGTTACCTATTCCTATAATTTTAAAATTTTCAATGACCTGCCATTTACCCTTTTAGGCTATGTCTTTCTTTCTTTGCGGCCTGGTTGGTGGAAGATTTCAGATTAGAGAGTCTTTATTCGTGTACTCACTTAGCATCTTTTTTTCATGTGTCGTGAATGTGAAGTTATTCTTTCATTCTTTCCTTTTTTCTTTTCAATCACAAACGAAAAAGGAAAATCAAAAGTTATATATCGTCTGATCGCTTACCTTAAAAATTGAATGTGTTGAAGGGAACGTGAGGAGAAGACATTATAGAGGAGTTAGGCAAAGGCCTTGGGGGAAATGGGCAGCTGAAATAAGAGATCCAAAGAAGGCTGCTCGCGTTTGGCTTGGCACCTTTGAAACGGCTGAGGCTGCTGCCTTAGCTTATGATGAAGCAGCTCTTAGGTTTAAAGGAAGCAAAGCTAAGCTTAACTTCCCAGAGAGAGTTCAAGGAAGATCGGAATTAGGTTATCTGACAACCCGGCGAGATGTGGAAAGGGCGGCGGCTTTACCTCCTCCTTTTCCACCTCCTTCTCAAGCAACGTATCCCAATATCTCTCAGTACGCACATCTTCTTAGCGGGGGATCAGGCAATGCTTTAAACTATGCTTTGCCAGGTGCCCATGGAGCCAGTCCTTTCACTTCACACGCCACTCTATCTTCATCTTCATCCTCCACAACGTTAACATCCCAACAACAACAACAACAACAACAACAAGACTACTTTGGGGGATTTTCACTGCAGTTCGGTGGTTCATCGCCTCCAGGTTCGGATCCTCCTAAGAATAGGAGAGATTATGATTATTACTATTCAAGAGAATAGTTCCGGGTATGAATATATATCCAGCTGGTTTATCTTTGGGGAAGGGCAGCTTTCTTAGATGATCTTTTGCGTTTTGTTTTTTCTTTCTTTCTTTCTTTTTCCTGGCATTTCATTTCCTCTATTTTCTCGTGCTTTGTTTAAATATTTATCAACTTTTTTTGTTCAAGGCAATCCAGAACCGTTTGTTGTGATGAAATTTAGAGGTGTTCCAGTTATAGCATTATCGGTTTTCCACATGTTCTTTATTCCAAGCTATCTAAAATAAAAATGAGGAGAAAAGAAAAATAACACTATGTATAGGTTAGAACTTCAATATTAGAACACAAAAAGAAAAAAGTGGAGTGAATTAATATAGGGAGACAAGTACATAAACTTCTCTTTCTTTTACGTACAAGAAATCTATAGTCGTCGTACAACAAGTAGTGGTAGCTACTTAGCTGATCCATATGTACGCAAAGTGTACTGAAAGTTAATTCACTATAAACTAGAGCGTAATCCTCCGCCTTTAAATTAGTTGAATCTCATTTCTTTTCTTGCTTTTAAAACGTTTGGCATTGCTCTTGTGCTGATCCCTTATATGAAACATTAGAGGTAGGTTACTCTTATTACTCTTACTGTACAGATAGGGTACTTGTATACCAACTCCTAAGCATATATTATCTAACCGCAATTATTATTAAAGCTTTTGCAATGTTGAAGAATTTAATTAAGCATTAACGATCTCATTTTGTCAAACATGAGAGTTAAATACTCACCTGATATATACATACATACATACATATCTATATGTATATATCTAAATGTATGTATATATGCATGAAATTTCAATTTGGACTTCTTGAACCGTAAACAAGTACAAAAAGAAAGAGGAAAAAATTAGATGGCGAAGAAGAAAAGGAAGCAAGCATGCATGCAAAATATGACAAAGGATGGATAAATAATTAATTAATATATAGGAAAAACCATAGTTGAAAGGCATAATGATGAGTTAAGGAGCGTTAGAGAACAACCTTGTGGAGACCTTGGAGATTGAAAAAAATTAATCTGTGAAATTTGGTATACGTCAATTTATGAAGGAAGTTATCATAATTTCATAAATGTAAGGGATGAGCTTAAAAGGAGGAGCATTTGGGCTGATTTTTATAATTATATCAGAAATGGGTGAGAAATCGTCAAACCTAAAATGCCTTCTAGAAGTCTCCGAGGGTCACAAAATTCGGCCGTGATTGAAAGCAGCGTGGGCTTGGAAATGGGTTGACACGCTTTCTGGCCGTAAACTGCCAAGAAACTTTGACCAGCCCCAACAACAATTTCTAGCTAATACTAAACCATTTCACTTTGAAATTCTTTCTTCAGGCAAAATAAATAATTAAGTCTTCTACCAATAAAAAGAATCCTTTGTCAAAATCAATAACATATTCATATTTTAGACTTTCAGGGGAGTTCACATTTCAATGAATTTGACTATATACATATAATATGTATAGTAATTAGATTATTAATATCTCAATATCGTGGCAATCCCTTCTATCAGTCAGCTAGCTTTGTGCAAGTTTTGTTTGTTCTAAAAGGTTTCACCATTAAAGTTAACTAAGCCTTCTTCATATACACAAAAAAGTTCAACTAAGTTTCCATGCATGATGCATATATATGAACAGAAAAGTTGAAAAGTGACCAAATGGAATCTTTTTTTTATATATTTTTTTAAACACTCTTTCAGTTTCTTACATCTATACCTAATATTAAGTTAATGAGTTGGCCAATTGGCCATTATGAAACTGACAGCCGCTTTGAATTGTGATGAGATTCAGGTTGGACTTTTTTAATCTTTTCTTTGACCTTGTATTTATGGTGGGTTTATATCTAATGGGCTATAACTTCGTATTTGGACCTTGTAATGGTGGGTTAATGTTAGTAGAGTATTTTTTTAGTTTTATAATTTTAAAAATTTATTTAATTTAATTTTTATAAATAATTTAAATAGATTGAATTATAATAAAAATTAAAAATAATTAAAATTGATTTATTTTAGATTAATCGGGATATTTTTTTGAAACTCTTTTATAATATTAATAATATTTTTTAATATAAAATATATAATATATTTTTTAATGATAGATTTTTTCTGTCAGTTTGATTGTAAAATTTGGCAACCATAAATCGATTAAAAAAAACTGAATTAAACGGCATTCTTAATGGTTTTGGATTTTTTGTACGAAAAAAAATTAATTTTAGGTTTTTTTTATGTGTTGTTTATTTTCTCTAATTTTTTAATATTTCCTAATCAAAATATTATTATATATTACAAATGTACTCTATCAATTTATATTTTAAAATAGAGTAAAAAAGATTTAAGTCTTTTGGCGAAAGAAAAATAAAGATAAAGGAGAGAAAAGAGAATTGAAAAATATGAAACTAAATTATCATTCTACTATTCCATTTTTAATTTATAGCCGTTTCAATTTTAGATATTATTTTTACAAATGTTTATAATTTAAAAAATTTTCCAATATAAATATTCATTGATTTATACTTTTAAAAAACCATAACATATTTATAAAAAAGCCGCAAAAGGGTTTCCTCCTCTCACCAAGTGAAAGGCATAAGAAAAAAACAACAAAAAAAAAAGAAAAAGAAAAAATCAAGTAGAAAGAGGCTTATGTGCAACACGGGGCATAGTCTAGTAATAAAAATAGCAATTCTCGCAACGAAGCGCGGGGATTTCATGTTATTCGGTACAAGTGCATTCACACAAACAAACACGTGTATAAAGCTTATTAAACCACGTTGGGATATGGCTAGAAGACCAAGCTTTTCATAGTTATTTTGCACAACTCTTAACCAAATACTGGCATGTCGCCTGGGAGATACAGGGCTGCATTACTTTAAGATGAAGTTTATTACTTTATTTAAATACTTAATTTAATTTGGATGTTTAAAGTATATGTCGTGAGTCAGAATTTAAGTATAGTTTTATATATTTTTAAATTTTAAAAATAAAATTTAAATCACGAATTCATATATTAAATATAAAATGATAAAAGATTTTAGGCGTATTGTATAATGTGCTTATGTGTCATGTGAAGTACAATAAATACTTTGAATATTTGATACAATTACAAGAACACAAACACGTGAGAGAGGAACTGATGCGCACGTACGTGTGGTGAAAAAGTTCGATTTAAAATAATTTCTTTAAATATAAAATAAAAGGACGGCCCTGAGCGGGGGGGGGCTTCACCCATAGAATCAATAAACAATTAAAAGCTTAGGAGAAAACAACCTGGTTTCAGCAAATAAATGAGTAAAGCTTTGGGGTAAAGTTTAGACTCAAGTCACTTCAATTTATCAGTTAACCTAAATCTGCCTCGCTCTTGTATTTGCCAAGCTACTTGTCTGCCAAAATGCATTTGAATGCTTACTTTGTGACGCTCCTGTTGCTTTCTTTGTTTCTACTCCTTAATTATTCAGGAATTCTTTTTGCTTTTCGGCACCGCCCTTTTGAAAGTTTGAAAGCGTGGAATGGGAAGTAAGTAAGATGTTCCTTGGCACCTGGCATGGCTTTTCGGCCCCCAAACATGGAAGAAGAGGAGCCCCACCTCTCCTCTTTTCTTATGGAGAGAAACCTAACACTTATCTCTTCCACATTCTAATTCCATACTATTTATCTTTTTCAGAGTAAACAATTAGCATCCCCCCAAAAAAAGAGGTGAAATAATTAGTGGGCAGAAGGACAAAATGTCTTTACTTGCAAGGAATTATTTCATCCGTGGGAGGAAAACATCATTAGAACAATAATTCTTTGCGACCACTCCACGAAGAGAATTTAGATACGGAATAACTAATTGTTCCATCATGTTATCAATTAAAACAAAATCAGATCTATGACAAAATTAAACAAATCCAAAGGTCTTAATAAGAAACAGTTTCAACATCTTTCTAAAATGATTTACTAATCAATATTTTTAGATATTAAGTTTGTCATGATGGTTTCAAAGGTTTTATTTGATACATTAAAATTTGTGAGTTTCATAATATATATATATATATATATATATATATATAAGGCTTATTGATTGCCAAAAATTAATTCAGAGAAGCCAAGTTAGTTTTTGTGGATGAGGAAGCTGTCCAATATAATCTTAGAGTGGACCTGATAGACCATTTTTATATACATGATTATTCTCTTTAATTGTCACAATTGATTTTCTTTATGTGTTTAATTAATACGTTCATTTAATATATAAAAATTTACACACAAATTATTGATTCCTATCTAATTTTTAAATTTTCCATCTTAAAAGCTTTGAATTCAAAATTTATAAATATTAAAATGTCTCTTAAAAAAACAAAATATTTTAACTTTAACTCGCGTTCAAGTGGCATTTAGGTAGATTAACCATGTATTTGTATTAACAAATGGGTTGACTCGAAATACTTCAACCACTATGCAAATAAAACAAAATCCTTTGACCAAATAAAAAAATCCTTCACAATCTTAAAAATTTGTCTCAAAGCGAAAACTCAAGAAAGAAAAACAAGAACAAGAATGCTTGACGGCAACGTTTTACTGGTATAAAACAAAAGGGAATAAAAACATATGTACAAGCCAACTGTAACTAAGAATTCCAAATTGCTAGTTATGTGATCAATTAAGCCAAATAGGACTGACCGGGTGCCCAGTCTCCACGGCAATTATGCGTGTGAGAGTCGAGAAAGAAACTAAGCAAAATCAAGTTAGGAGCAGACATAGACACCGCTGAGGCTGCGCCACTCCACAGCCTAATTCTCGAGTGTTGTCTGTCGAGTTTTCCTGTCAAACTTTGCGGCTATTGGTACATATTCATTCTTCTTCGTTGACTTGACATACTCTAGCTATAGTTCAGTCATGGTTTCACTAAATACATAACGCATTGATTCTGGAACACTGAACAGTCAGGTCTACGCTACTCATCGGATCAGATCATGTCCAATTTACTACAGACATAATAAATTTTGCGATTTTGGACCATATTTGTGATGCAGACACGGCAATGACTGGAATCCATGTTGTCATGATCGCTTTGCCACTCCTGTCAGGCGACGCGTTTCCCAAGTTTGTCAACGGATATAATCATCTCCGTGTCCTTTGAATATTGTTTCGGTGCATGTGTATGTTTGATGTATCCCATCTTCACCAAAAAGGCTTCCGGCAAATGTCATCCACTACCCACTCCAAAAGGCAAATGAAAATTCATATCCAGCCCAATATAGAAAGCAGAACTCAAAGCAAACAAGAAAAACTTAAGACACCACTGCAGGATCAAGTTCCAAAGCCCAGTCTGGTCGTTGACAATTGTGTAAATTTTACCAGAGTCGGCACCACTGGAAATATATTGTGTGAAGGTGGAAGAAATGACCCCACCGACACCTAACAATTAACTCGTTGGAGCAAAGTGCCTTTTTGTCCCTGACTTCCTGGAAGAAAGCATTCTTGTTTCCCCAATCCCTTGTCTGCTTGAAAAGAGAAGAACATCGTACCCAGATGCCAAAACACATTGCTGAATTTCGCACTAAAAAAATAGTCTCCATATAGTGCAGAATTGCCGACAGGCAACAGCTTAGCGTTTATCTATAGGCCTATAGGCCTTCCTGCCTAAGATAGGATACCGCCTATATTAGCCCATATCATTCATTCTTATTTGCACAAAATCCACCAGGTTCTTTTCTCTTTTTATGACCGCCAATTCTATCAATTTCACGTGCATCCACAGTTCTACATTTATACTTAGATTGCTGATCACGATAAATGTTGCGATTACACTATAAATAAAAGATCATGTCGGGAATAATGGTTAAAGGTTATTGCTATCATTTCTTTAATGGGATTCCAGTAAATAGTTGCAATGCAACATCTGGTATAGCCAAAGGTTGTGCATACCAGCACAGTGTTAACACAATAGGTGAAAAAGAATACTTATTTATATGAGCTCATAGGGATCAAAAAGAATTAGGATTTGCTAAATTGGGTGATCAGCGTGGCTGGAACAAATTCCACCAATCATGCATCCATGGTTCCCTGAGCTTTCTTTTGGTAAACTGTTTCCAAACATTCTTTAGCTTGATGAACCTTTGACTGCAGGTAAAAGCTCCCATTCTTAGCATTTTGCTCAAACAAGTTGTCATATTTCTGCAAATTGCTCAAGGAAAAGCTAGTCAGAACAACATAAAAAATATGGCATGACAAATCACAGAATAATAAGTAAAATTATCTAGGAAACCTGCAAGATTTCATCCCATGATGAATGCTCTGTGACCCCTAAAATCTGCCTAGCCTCTGGTTCAGCCATAATTTTGCTTGCTCTCCTGATATTCTGCACTGTTTCTTGAGCGACACCAGATTTTGAGGCATCTGCATTTCAATCAAGCACAATGTAGATATGTTCAATTCAAGGATTTCAGACAGAGTAAAGCAAAATTCATAAATGCAAGATTACAATGATTATTATTAAAAAATAAAAACCAATAAACAGAACACTTCCAAACACTGACACAGTTGGAAGACATACTTGCAAGTGCTTGACGATACGCCTGAAACACAGCCCTTCCTAATATTCCAGAGCCCATCACAATCAAGTTTGCAAGAATTCTTGCAGCCTGTACAAATACATAAAAATTTAATTGTCTGTCTTGTCTCATAGCCTTTACCTGTTATTTTTATTAATGATGTTTCCCATTTTCTTAAGGGTGTATGAACAAACAAAGCACAAACTATACGAGCTTGAGCCATTGAAGGTAACCAAATTTAAGGCCAACAATACAAGATATTACAAAACACCATCATGAAACCCCCCCCAAAAAAAAATCCTTTTTAAGGTTTTCAACAAACCATCTCAGTTTCTTGGACAATATAAAGTGCATAAACTATCAAAATGACAACATAAAAGGAAAGGTTAGTCATCCTAATGAGAACATGATGAGCAATTATATCTCATCCTAACCGTGTACCCAAATCACATGACTCATAGCTTGATGATCAGAATGCACTAGTGATAAAGATGTTCCTGCTGTGAGATTGTCAAGAATTCTAATATCTTTGTCCCCAAGAATTGTAGCCATATTACCATGAAGTGCTCACCAACACTACTCTTAATAACACAACTCGAGCAAGCACAATACTAAATATGTGCATAAAACATGAATACTTTCAAAGCAGCATAGAAATTATTTTGACCGTCATTTCCAAGGAGACAACCGAATTACCGACAACATTCCCTCATTCACTTTTCAAAAATTCCAAGAGAGCCACTTCAGGGGCAAGAACAAGTGCCTCCCAACATGACACATCACTTTCTACTTGTCTAATCTTTCCAAGCATATGAGACATAACAACATAGCACCAAACAACCCTTAAAAAGTTTAAATCAATAAAGCACCCAAGAGACTAATAGACCACATTATTAAATTTACAGTGCTTCTGAAAATGACATATTCCGGTGAAAATTTTATTATAAAATCAACAGAGCAAAGTACTTTGACAACCTCAAGAAAAAGAAATATATCGGAAGTATGACAATTACGTGCCGAGTTATTTACCATTGTTGAAGATTTAAGCAATATATATTATTTATATATCCACCAACTGGAGGGGAGTTTGCTGTTGAAGATACTTCAGAATCCGCAGAGCCTACAACGGCAAAAATTGATCATGTTAGTGGAATCAAATGCAAAAAATTAAACTGATTATTACTTATCCTGAGGAAGAAAAGAAAATACTATCACTTACAGAAGGAGATATCGAATTAGGAATTCAATGGAGACAAAAGTCGAAGGGTTTTTGGTTGATGATTATTAGGGTTTTGAACAGAAAGGGATGAAACCTGGAAATGAGGGGAAACTCTTAAGTTGGGCTTGTTATCGTAAACCGACATCCCCATCGATTTCGATCTCGATGTAGTAACTTGGGCCATCATGGGCTGAGCTGTTTTTATAATTAGAATAGAGTGTGGGTTTTGGGAGGTAACATTAAAAGGGCAACAAAACAATTTGAGTTAGAGATGTTCATGTTCTGGGCCGAATTGGGCCGAACTTTCCTTTTAAAACCAAGCTCGAGCGTGACCCGGCCCTTTAATTTAGTTATTCTTTTATTATTAAATAGTCAAATATTATTTTTATATTAAATAGTTTGTTTTAAAATATTAATAAAAATATATTAATTATTAATATAAAAATATAGAAAAGATATTTATTTTTTAAAAAAGAAATAAAAATAGTACATTTATGTGAAACTATCATGCAAGAATCAAATTTTAATAAAATTAAAACATTAAAGATCACTTAAAAGCCTCTTACTAACAGAATATTAAAAAATTATATTTGTAAAAAAATCTATCAAACTATTGGATTCGCAATATATATGAATGATACTAACATATCATTCTTTCTTGAAGAGATTTTTAATAGTCAAAGTCAAAGTTTGAATTAGCATTTGGTTCATATAATTCTATTTAAATCACCCAAGCAATGGTTTTATTGTCCATAGTCAAGAACACCTTATGACATCCCTCATCCCATGCCATCAACAAATCTTAAAAAACACTTCATAATTCTGTTCAATATGTAGAACAATTACAATAATTTTTATTCTTTTTCTAATCATTTATTATTTTCTGTTTAATTATTATTAATACAAAAAATTATAAAATCATAATTTTCTTCATAAAAAATCTACTTAAGATTTAATTTTCAATAGCATACCAAACAATTTTTATGTAATAAATTCAATGCTTAAATTATTTTGAACTAAAAACTAAGTACTTAATTTTTGAAGATTGAATATTTCCAGTTTATCAAACAACACCTAAATTAATTAAAAAAAAAGTTAAAGTAAATTCTTACTAGATTATCCCAAAGTATTGTACAACAATATAGTCATTGCTTAGAAGTATTTGATTAGTGATGAGTCACCACTATTTTTCCGCTAATTTTTGCTTACCCTCAAATCCGAAAGGTGACGTCAAATTAATCCAGCCTTGCTCTTCTCTTCGTAACTGTCTCGTCTTGTTTGTTTCGGAAACTTTTCCCAGCTTCACATGACAATCAAGTTGAACATATAGAGCTTAAAATTGAAACAAACAGGGAAGCTCAATTTATTATGTTGCAATGGAGAATGTTTTGATTCCACATCCATATAGCCTTAAAGATGTGCAATCATTCCTGAGTACAATTTAAAAGCATCCGAAAGCAAATCCCAACTGAAAAATGTAAACAATTGAGTACTAAGAACTGAAACTTCTTCACTGGAATATATATATATATATATATAGCAGATCAGTTTGGAAAAGAGTATTTTATTGTCATCCTGATGCTGACGGTGGTTCATTTTCTCACAGCATCAACTTTCCTTTGCTTGCGAGGCTTTTTGGGTTTGAGCTCCATTTCAGGCTCCTGTGAACCACCATCCACATCTGCTTCTTCAGAGTTTTCTTCATGAATATCATTGCTCCCAGACAAATCTTCCTCTGCACAAGCAGTTCCTTTCTCACGGGGTTCCTCAGCGGAATTCTCATTCTCTCCAATCTGCTTGGCAATCAGGTTCTTGAGCTCTATGTTTACCTGTCATACTCAATGCACATAAGCTAGCTTGTCATCATGCTTGATCATGTTGGGGTACAAACATGTATGTATGATTCTCCAATTTCCGATGAGAGAATGTTAAAAAACAAACTAGAGTACTTCAAAAGATTCTAAAGGGCGTTTCAAACATGTTCAATATTGTAGAGATCTGGATTAAAATACTTTTTCTTCCCTCTTCTCAGAAATCCACTGGAAAAATGAAGCAAACATAAACTGCACTTAGAAATTAAGAGCAACATCCCATGCAATACCTTTAAGTTGTTCAAATATTCGGATAAGTCACTTGGGCAAGAAGGGCACTTCAAGACATTTCTTTTTGACCGCAGTGGTCGTCCACCTGCATTTCTCTCTCTTACAAGTGAATGGCCAGCAAATACACCTTCTAGACAAGACTTGCAAAAATTATGACCGCATGGTGTTGTTACTGGCATTTCCAGCACTTCCTTACAGATGGGGCAACCGTATTCTGCAAAGAAAAATTTCAAATTCAACATCAAATTTCCGACCAATTCCAAAGTTAATGTATGATTTACATATTGCAAAAACAAATTCTACGTAGACATTTTTGCACAAAACGTGCCTCTACATCAAATTATTCCTAAAACTACTCCAAACCAGATATTTATAGTCAATTTTCCAAATGTTAGAAGTATAGCAACAAGAGAAAAATGTGAACTATGCTACACCAGGTCAATAACCAAATGAGAAGAATGCATGGTTAAACTAGTAGGCAGTACAAACTAACGTTTTTGAAGCCTCTTTTTAGCAGCTGCACTCTGTGCCTGCTTAACTATTATCCTTGACCTCTTCCTGCCACCAGAATTACCAGTATTTTCCTTTTGCTTGCTGATAGGTGGCGGTTTAACCCACTTCCAGCAACCATCAGCCTCCTGAAAAGAAAAGCGAAGACATACAGAGAAGAGCATGCATGTGAATTGAAATCTAAACAGCACTATTCTTGAGATTTTTTTTTTCCACTTATAAATTATGCATTTAATTCCATATCATCAGCCTGTTGCACTCCTTGGGTTTGATTAAATTATAAAGTTAATTTCCAAATAGTGAAGCCACCAATAAGGCCTGTGCAATCCAAGTTTAGGGAATAAATATTTATATATACAACTTACATCATAGTCCCATGATGGGCTTTCCTTTCTCTCCGTTACATTCGATGCCTTTTTCAGCTCTTCAAGGACTGGCAAAGGTCTAGGGCAATCCCCAAGCACATCACTACAGTCAAGATAAGGAAAACTTAGTGAAAAGAATGATTTTATATCATAGATGAATCACAGAGCTCATCGGCAAATCTAGAAACTGAACCTTGTCCATGGGGCAGGATCATTGTCACACCTAACAAATAAATATCGACAAACCTTGAAACCCTATACAGGAAAGCATTTTATCATTATAACCAAAAAATTTATTCTGCAAAAGAAGAATCAAATTGGAAATATCTCTGTGTTGGATAGCAAGTACCTGAACTCCAACATTTAACCAGCATTTTTCAACTCTGTAAATTCCATCATAACGTAGGCCATTTTCAGGAGCATATGAAGAATGCTTGTCTTTAAACGACCTATTCATCAGAACAAGGGGAAACTGTCAATAGGTTGATACGTAAGAAGCAAATATTAGGAGAAGATATGAACTACCAAAAATTCACAGACAACTGAACTTGATTCTTTAAAAAATAACATCCTTACAAGATTCCTGCAACTAATTACAGAATAGAAAAATTATAGCAGATTGTAACACATGTAAAATGGGGGGCAATCTTTTAGATATGTTAATTGGACATGATCCTTGATGGAACAACTATATCAGCACAATCATTTTAATTATTCAACCACCCAAACCTTGACATGCGCAGTAAGGAGGGAATGCGTGTTGTTACTTATACAATCCTGAATGTAAAGCCAAACAAAATTAGACAATGTTAAATCCAATATCCTGTTGCAAACCAGCATTCCTTAAAAAGGTGAATCAGCTTCGGATGAAGCCAACGACAAGAGTGAATAGATAGAGGACTACACTCAATAAATTGTCTGAGCAGTTAATTAAGAACCCAAGCAGGCTGCATTATCAAATTGTCATTTCCACACATCAGCTAGGCACCTTTGGCTTGGTTGTGTAGACTCAATTCAGAAGTGAAGCCCCTTGAGGAAACTCTTCTCAAGGTGTGTAATGGTATAACTTTCAAATTGAATAATCATTGTGGACATTCCAAGGATATTAAGATGCCATAGAAGAAAAGCGACTGTCGTAAATTTCATAATCAACATGCACATATGGAGAAATTGGTCTTCAATGGATTCATGACTAAACATAATTCTATCTTTATTTCTATTGCTATATATTATACCATTTAGAAGAAAATTTAGCTTCTTAATGTAAACAGGTAAAAAAAAAAAATTAGTCCGAGCCATGATAATGGGTATTCAGTACTTTCATTAATTGAAATCAAGAGAGCTTCAATTAGGTTCAAAGAGAAACTTTACTTATTGAAACTCACCTAATAACTCTGATAGGGTAACCATTTTTGCAACTGAGACGAAGAGACTCATTCCCACTCTTAAACTCTTGATCAAAAGATTGGTCCTTATTAGTCCTTTTGTTCCCACTCAGGTCTCTTCCCCCACTGCATTTTGTCCATGCAAACCAGTAAATTTCAATGGAACACAGTACTAAATTCAATGCTATGCATTTTATAGATGGTGCCAAACAAATAGGAGAAGAATCGAAGTAAACAAGAAAACATGAATTTGCGAGAGAATAAAAACTCATGGCAATATTTGTGATTAAGACATTTAATTTTCTTATAGGATGGTACTTAAGAAGTAAACAAAGTAAGCAGATACGGGGCTATATGGTCCACGAAACATGATGCAGCAGCCACATAGAAAACGTACCTTCCTGTGTAAAGGAACCACTCTCCATGGTCCTCGTCGTCTTCGTAACCTCCAGAGAGTATGACTGACTGTGCACCGTGATCTTGTTGGCCGGCAATGCCTTTAATAGGAGGAAAGTGAGCACCCCACTGCCGGCATTCTAACCGATCTGCCCAAGTGTCTCCAACCAGCACCCCTCGGTTCCTCTCTGGATCATTTTCAGCCAGAATAGGACCGAAATGATCTGTTGGCACAGTGACAAATATCCTACCACTGGCAGCATTAGCCTTCCCGCTCTTCTTAGCCCGCTCCGTAGTGTACGCCTTGTCCGGCCTATCTTGATTGCGTACATATTCATAAACCCTTGAAGGCAAGTCAGAAGCATTCGAGCTCAACATCTTTGCCTTTCGAATGGCAAACACTAGCATAAGGTTGATGCGAGGTTGACTTGCCATTGCGGAAGGTATTGGGTTACGGCATAACGGACAAGTGCAGTTCCTTTGTCGTCGAGTAGAACTCTGGAAACATTTCAAGCAGAAATTGTGCCCGCACGGAGTCTGAAAAGGGAAAATCACTTCATTTGCTTTGGGAAGAAAAGAATTAAGGAATTGGCTGCTCCGTTTGATATAAATTGTAGGTGGAATTCACATTTTATTATGAATCATGAAATCAGTATGCTTATATTCAAGCAGTTAATTTAAACAGAGAAGGATGTTTGTGATATTAACTGCACCATATGCATCAACATAAAGAGGAAAGAACGAAAAGACTTACGTAGAGTCATGTGTAAAACAAAGTATAATTCAGAGAAAAGAGTTAATCTGATGCCATATTATATATATTTTCATTCAAATCCTTTCATTAAGTACCACAATTATAGTCAAAAGAAAGAAGAGAGACAAGGACTAATAAGAAAGGAGGGGAAAATCATTAAAAAAATGAAACATATAAAAACAACTGAACGAAACGTCGTAAGACCTTCGAAACCTTAACAAGACGAAATCTAGAGAACAAGGCAAACCAAACAAACAACGATACCCTAGAGTATAATGGTTTATTAGTAAAGGAAGTTGAGAGAAAGAGCGAAAGAAGCTAAAGCTCACCGAAACAGGTCTGTCAAGCATCTTTAAGCAAATGGAGCAGTTGAAGCTCTCATCAGAGACCTCCAACGCGTCACATTTACCCTCGACCATCTTCTCTTTCCCCTTACCCTTATTTTTTCCACCATTCTCTTTCTCCGGTCCAGCAACTCTCCCGCTAAGCAACTCCTGCCTCTTCCTGGCTTTCTCCTCCTCCGTCAGCGACCCGTCAGCCTGGATCGCCATAATCTTAGCAACTATAGTGTCACCAGAAGAAGAAGAAGCACCACCAGTCACGGTGGCTTCGTCCACGACGACGGCTCCTTCTTCTTTAGTGGGGTTGTTGTTGTCGTGGCAATCAGGGCACCCCATGCCAATATCCTCCAAGGCAAGGGATTCGCGAATGGCAATGAGGCAAGTCAGGTGCCAAGGGGTTTTGCAGATGATGCAATCGATTATATCTTCCTCGTCTGGCCAGGTTTTGCATAACATGCAACGGCCTGTTGGGTCGCAAGACCGCTTCTTACCAGGCTTCGGCCTCTGGTCAGCATTCCCCATTGTTGTTTTCTTTTGACTACAAACGAGAGAGAAGTGACGAGAGAGTGAAGTGAAGTGCGAACTGAAATTGAAGGATTGATGGCAAAATAGAGTCTGCAGTGAGGGGTTTTTATAATGGGAAGGAAGGGGGCGACTGGGGTTTCTGATTGGATGTGATGCAGAGGCGGTTTTTTGGAATCATTCGCTGTGTCAACTTTTTTCCCTTTACGGGCAAAAATATTCATGCAACAATGTATGAAACAAGACAAGCCTGTCAAATGACAAGATTGTCCCTAATCCTACGTCATTTTTATTTTATTACATTCACCTTTTTTTCTCCTTTTATCATGCACATATTTTTTTTTTTGAAAAGCTTTTATCATGCACATATTGAATGAAAAGATGCACTTTTTTGTAGAATTATTAACATGAAATCATGCATATTTTGGGTAATGAAGTACTTTAGACATGTGAAAATATATTTTTTAAATAATTGTTTAAGTATTAAAATTTATATTAATTTAACATGATTTATTCTACTAATAAGATATATTTATAAAAAAAATGTTACTAATACAACATACATGCAGGGATATCATATTATAATTGATATACTTACTTTTGTATACGTTAAAATAAAACATATGCGTTACATCAAATGATAAAATTACTAATTATAACAGAGTTTTAGATTGATTCTTTATAACTAAATGACGTCAGAATTAACTACATTATATTAGAAGTAAAAAAACACCTATCATGATCACTTACAGTTAATTAACGAAATTAACGATTTCTGTCGGATTGTATGATGTTGAGTGTATAAATCTTTTGTGTGTATAACACGCGTTTATTTGTATTTGTACACGCGTTTGAACATGCGCGTGAAATAAACATTAAAACAATAGTCAACTTATTAACAACAATAGCATTTTTCTTATTTTGCTTAATAAATAAAGCTATATTATTTATAGTAACCTTGTTTTAAATAAAGATTACGAGTGCTTTAAGGTTGCAAGGATTAATAAAACAAATTTCTTATGACTAGAGGTGCACATTGTAGCTTCAAATGTTCACTCTATTTCATTCCCATCTCAATAGATAATGGAAAAATATGAAACGAGTGGAGCATGTTGAAATTATCATGTCAAAAAAATTAGGCATTATTAAAAAGTTGAAAATGACAAAAAACCTTAAAATTAAGAAAGGATAAATAAGTAAAAACAAGAATGGCAGTGATGAGATTTGAAGGACCATGGATGGGCACTATGGGAAAAAAACATTAGTATTTTCCATTCCTTGTGCCTGAACGTTACCTTTCCGGTCTTTTTACGAATTTAAATCTTGGTATTATCTCCAGGTGGGTGCATTTCCAGGTTGGAAAATTTAATAGATTATTAATAAAAAAGCTTAGAATTTTGTCCATATTAAGTAGAGTATGTTCTTTAGAAGGCAGGCGAAATCCAAAAGAATCCGAATGCTGGAGCAGGCAGTTAATGATGGTCAGCTGGATTTTCTATTTGTTAATTTGGTAATTAATTTTCATAACTCATCTGACAATTATGTAATTGTAACCTCCCACTGTGGACCTGCTTTTGTCTTCTGCACCAACTGTCTTGAGTTTTTCCTGGTGGGGATGACCAGTCCAATTCGCCATGTGCTGGATTTCCATGAGGAATCTGAGTGGTTCTTTGGCTCTTTCTGAGCTGCTGACAAAATGGTTAAATGGGTTACCAAATTTTGCACAAGGAAAGCCACCTATGCTACCATTTTAAGTTTCGACCAATGAATCCAGTCTTTTGCTAACACATTACCATTTATAAATCTAATCAAATTTGAAGAAATTTTTCTCATGATACAAATCATGGTATATATATGGCACATACACTTACTTGTGCATTGCCAGCAAATATGGTAAATAATCTAGCATACAGCCTACTCTTTCCATATATTGCACCCTAAAAATTGGCATGTTATTATCAAAAATTATATTTAATCTTATCTATTTAAACATTTAATTTAATTCACTAAAGCCCATAAAAATTATCTCCACCTAGAGTATCAAATCATTTTTCGAAATTTTACACATTTAATCCCACAGGAAAACAGGAAATCGAGAGATGTACTAACAAACTACTAAATGGAAATACATAAAGAAACATGCTGAGATTCCCAAGTACTCTCTCTTTGTTCTTGATTTTTTTTTTTTTGCTGTTGCCATCTTGAACAGAAACCAAAATATATATCTAATTAACTCATAATTCACTCAAAATATAAAAAGATCGACAAATGATCAAATTTCATTCAATACTCCACAAAAAATTCATGATGAAGAAAGAAAAATATGAGAATAGGAAAATATTTGATCGCCATAGTTTTTTTTTTTTAAAGCATTTATGAACTTTCGTTGATAATCAGGAATGGAGCATTCTTTTCTAGGGGATTTAATGGTTATAGTTGCTACCAATAAAGTGAAAAAATATGTTAAAAGAGTTACTTAATTTTAACTCAAATTATAAAAATAAAATAAAATTTGAATTGAAATTTTAAATTTAAATCATAAAGTCTTAATTTTTTTAATAAAAACAAGTCAAACAAGACGACAATGGTTACGAATGGGAGAAGCAAGAATGAGAGATCAAAAAGTGATACTAAAAAATAGTTCAATGGCTCAGAAATCAAATTTAATTAAGTTAATCATCAAAGAGGGTTAATTCATTCTTAATTAATTTTTATCTTTTCTCATTGATAAAAATTTAGTTTATTTGACTTGTTTTTAGAGGCGTGTGTATAAATACTTGCTTTTGGTAAAACTTAAACTATTTGACTAACTTTAAAAAGCGCGTGAATAAGCAAACTTGATTTTAATATTAATTGAGTGAAATTAATAAAATTGCATGTCTAGTTTATTGAACATTTGAAACAAAAGCCTCATTACATTCATTCCAACTAATGCATTTAATGTGAAAATACGTTAGAAAACACATGTTACTTGGTTGGATTACTCAGGGAGAGGCATCCTTCCCCATTCCACTAGGCAACACCCTTATCTCGTGAAAGAGCTCTACCATGTCTTAAATTATCAAAGATCCTCTGTCAATTCCCAACTCGACTCCTTTGGCAACCCCTTCTATTTCACCAGATCTTAGTGCCTCAGTATGTAATGCTTTTGTCTCAGTAGCTTATCGGCCAACACTTGCTCCACCTCTCACTCATACCGTCGTACGTTGGCCTAACTCCTGCCAACGGCTTGTGGCTCGCCCCTCCTGCTAATCCACAAGGTTAGACGTCAACAATACTGATATGGAACACGAGATGGACTTCGGTTTGGGCACCAACTCCAGCTTGTATGCCACCATGCAAATCCTCTTCAATACTCAATAAAGCCCCTCGTAGCGCTTATTCAGTCACTTGTGGAGACCCCTGTGTCTTAACACTAAATGAAGCTTCACCATCACTAAGTCTCTTACCTTTAAATGTGCTTCCTTCTGAAACTAATCAGTCCACTTCTTCGCTCTCTTGGTGACCTTAAGTAGACAAGCCGAGCAAACTTCTGTTACTCATGCCAAACTAGAGCATACTTGTATGTTGCGTGTGCTAGACCAGTGTATCCCGTTGCCACGACACTCGACATGAGAGGTTACTGCCCGATCATTGGTTGGAAAGGGCTTTGTCCCGTCACTTCACTACGTTACAGGTTGTGTGAGAATTGCACCACGTTCAACCACCTTGGCCAGTTGACCAGTGTGCTGCAATAAAATGGCGCAAATGTAATTGCAACAAGACATTCACCCTCTCGGTCTGATCATCCGTCTAGGGGTAAAACTCAGTTGAAAAGGTAAGTTCAAAACCCAACAGTATAAAGAGCTCAACCTAGAACCTTAATTCCCATAAATCGACCATCCTTGTCACTTGTGATGGTTCTTGGCACGCTCCAATATCTAACCACGTATCTCACGAACAACCTCGTTGTTTTCTTGGTAAGACACTCTCAGTGGTAAGAACAAAAGTAACGTATTTGGAAAACCAATCCACCACGACCACGATATTCTCCAATCCATCCACCTTTGCAAGTCCTATGATGAAGTCCATACAGAAAGGTTTTCTGCTCTCATGGTTTCTAGAGGAAAGGGACAGGGTTACATGCACCACCAAAATCCGATTCATTTCCTTAAATTTATGAGTTTTTCCCTCAACAAACAAATAAATTAGAGTCAGAAATGTTCTTACTGCCTTTTCATTTTTAAAATCAATAAAGAATCATTCATGCCGATTGCCAAACTTTTGGATGTCGCTAAAATATTACGCTGCCTATTATTACGTTACTGAAACATGCATTTCTCTAGTTTCCAAACCAAAAAAACAGAACAATAGCATAATATCTCAGGTCCATTCGCTCATTGGAGAAGTACCAAGGTTCTTTTTATTACATTGACATTGAAAATGCCAACAAACTTTACGCATTTCATCAAGAATTCAGGGGAAATGGGCTGATGCGCTTGCGCGAAACCACATGCTGAATTGCTGATGAAGGTGATAAGCCCAAGGGGATCCGAGTGTCCAGGCATGGGGTTTGTGGACTCAGAGCTTGCAAATGACTCCCAATGACTGGCCTGTGAGAGAATGCAGGTCTTTCTCTCGTAGATTGATGAGGCTTCTTGCTGCTCTCAAAGTACAGAAGTTCTTTAGGCCCCATGGGACTCCCAGGTGTCTCAAACTTCCTCTTCTTCCTCTGCAGTTCCCACACTAGCTTGTAATCGTTTTCTTCAGCTTCCTTCCTGCCAAAGAACTTCAGGGAAGTAAAACATAAGAGAAGTTTCCCAACACTGTCCAACAGTCCCCATAATTTGCCCTTTAAGTGATTCCCCATCCCATTTGCAAGTTTTAAAGCAAATGCTCTCGTGGCCAAACCAATCACTGTGCAGTTCACATATATTACTTCCGGAAATTCATGCAGAATGCATTGACATCAATGTACCTTCTGATTTTTTCTATTGACTACAATAAGAAGAAACAGAATAGCCTAAAGGAATAATGGGCTTCATTATGCCTCTAAAGTCCGTTCTCTCAATAGATTGTGCGAAAAGAATTATCAAGAAAGCTTAAAAAGAATTTTCTTTAATAAATCATAATGTACTCCTAAAAGCAAAAAAAATGTACAAAAAATAATGGTAGCTAGAAGTTAAGAGATAGCTATAGACCTAAAGCCAATGACAAACAAAGCAAATCATGGCATTGTTAAGATATCCTAAAAATCAATTTATACACCGAATGGTATTTGCCCATTGTCTGTCTTAGTAGTGGACCTGGTGGTACCATGTCAATGTCATAACAAGGAACATGAAGAGAAAAGTGAACTTCAGTTGTCTTTTCATCATTTAGGGCACGTTTGTTTGGGCAGGGGTAGAGTGGAAAATTCGGTGTGGAACCCCCCACACTGCACTGCCCACACAAGCAGGCCCTAAATCAGATTGTTTAAGCAACAGAGTATTATGACTGCAATGTAATTTCCAATTAATTGATATTTTTACTTTATATTTTTTCAAATAAAAAATGAATAGAAAACCAAAACCAAATAAACAAAAAGTAAAAAAACAAAACAAAAGCCAAAGCTAAATCAAAGGAGTAGTAACTAAAATAATCCACTATCGTATTGCATTGACCACTGATTGATTAATAAATTACTAATCCACTCAGGTCAAGTTAATTAGGGGCTAAGGAGTCAGCAATTGTTCATCACTTGGTGGTTAGCTGTGAGTGGCAGCCCTTAAGCCATACCGATGCTCCTTTTTGGACTACTAAACCTAGGGTTCGTACTTGGAACTGAATAGGAGAGAGCTTCTTAGGTCAGGGGATCATTACATCAGACTGAAATAGTGAGATCTACAATGTAAAAGGCCTGGAAAAAGTACCTTCTGTGAAACAAGATGTTCAATATGCTCTTTTTCGATCCCGGCTAGGAACTCAAGGTATTCGTCCAATCTCATCATCTTTTCTTCAGACTCCTTTAGCTTGCACAATGCCTTGATCCTTCCCTCCTCTGCTAGTTTGATCCTCCTTCTTGCTTCCTCCAACTCAATCCTACCATTTCTCATAGATCTTTCCATCTCATCCACAACAGCCAGCAAGCGCGCACATGTTCCAAACTTCAACTCAGCTTTCAGGCCTTTGACATAATCCACCATCGGGTTACACATTTGTTTAGTTAAATCTCGCATTAGGCTCTGTATACCATCCTCTACCGAGCTAAGGACTGCATCTGTTTTATCATATATGACTTGATGAAGCTTCCGTGTGATCAGAAGCGTGTCGTGGTTTTGACTTTGAAGAGATATAAAATTAGAGGCTTTCCGGAAAAGTTTTTGGAGGAAGCCCCGCCGAGTGGCAAGGCTCTCAAGAATGTCATCCCGGTGAGAATTGACTCGGTTTTCAATTTGTCTAAGCAGGTGGACAAGCTGCATTACTTGCGTTTGTTGCTCCTTAAAAAATTCTTTGCCTGCGATCGTGGCCTTAGTAGCACAACTTTCTTCCTGCAAAGTTGAAAATCTCGGTAAAAATGTGAAAGATGATTGACATTAACACTTACGTTTGGTAGGAGAGAAAGAGGGAGGAAGGAAAGGCAGTGGAGAGAAGAAGGAAAATGGATGGATTTACACATTTTCTTCCCTTCAAATCTTATCTTTTCAAATTGGGAAAGAATTCATTCTTTCTACTTAAGTTAATCATTTTATATATATACAATTTTATTTTTAATCTTTTTTCTCTATTTCCTACCTTTCATATTAAATACAAGAACGAAAAAAAATCACTTTCTTGCCTCTTCTTTATTTTTTCTTTTCTCTCTATTTTCCTTTCTTTCTACCAAACTTAGTGCAAATGTTCTCTTTGATTATGCAAAGCCATGGCTGAATCTCCAACTGCAATCAACTTAGAAGTAAGAGAAAGTAGTAGGAGTTAGATAATCTTCACCTAAATTATATATCTTCGTAACATTTGAAGGTACTATATAAGCTGAGTTTTGTATTAAAACATCACATAAACCCACTATTCTTGGCTGATTTCTTTTTTCTCTGGCGAATTGAGAAATTTGGTTACTGTTGGGGACTGAATTTTGATATTTAATTCTAACATTGGTCATACAAAAGTTCTGCGAATAAATGATTTAAGATGAGAGTCCAGGGGCTGAATTAAGATCATAGGAGGTACCATCCCTAACTTACGGGAAAGTAGCTAAATAAAGACTAGAAGAGTGAGCTTTGAACTTGATTAAATGTGTTTAAAATGAGCTCGCGAAACGAAAATAAATGAATTCTACAAAATTTATGAAATTCATTTCTATTTCATTGACAATCTACCACATTACCTCCCTGTGAATCTGATTGTCCCATTCTCCTCCGGAGGCAGTAGGTGATGCCACTGGTGATTCGGTTATTAGACCGCTCCTGCGGAATCCCTGCCATGAAATCAAATATATTTGTTTTTCTTAAGAAGAGATGACACAATAATATAATGCGTGAATTTAGGTTTTAAAAATTTAGCGGAGTTTATTACAGGGGAGAAATCAGCATCGACGATAATCGTGGTGAATCGTCCTTCTTCAGCCATTTCCTCTGTTTTCAAACCGACCAGTTTCATCAACGGAATCGCCAAGGAAGAGAACACCTCCTCTGCCTGGGAAAACAAAAAAAGAAATCAACGACGATTCCTCCTTTTAATTTCTCAAAAAAAAAAAACGAAATCACCGGAAGTGGAACGAGGAAAATCACGATCAGTAAGAGGAAAAAAAAAATCAGAGAATACTTCAGCCAAACCGATTTTGATCTGCAATTTTAGTTGGTGATAAGCGATCTTCACTCGCTCCTGCTGTGAAACTAGTGTCTTAAGCTTGACGCCGATCTCAGCCGTTGATTTAGACGCCGAGATCTGCAGTCTCCGTCGTTTCTCCATTTTTGGCGGGAAATAATCCAACGGTAACTGTAAAATGGAACCTGTGCTCTCAAGCCTACATTTCAAAATTTTGAAACTGAAGAGTTTATGTACGGTATGCGTTGTCCGAAGGAAAACTAAATTAAAAAAAAATGAAAAAGAAAAGGCGAAAACTTCACCGTTTCTTTCAAGGCACCGGAAATATCTTACTGAACCACAGGGTTACTCACTAGATATTTCACAATTTTTGGAATCTCCTAGCTAGACAACATGGGTGAAAATAACGGCGGAGGTGAAAAGGATCCGAAAAGAAAATATCGAAGAGAATATCCTAATCGTTAAACCACTGAAAGCAGGCTTCGGCGCTCAGAAATTGCCTTGCGAAATCACTAGCGGAGAAGCAAAAAGGCGAACGCGGCCAAAACCAACGGCATGGCGAGTAACGGTGACAGAGAAGTCGTTAACCGGGATGCTTTCCGTCAAGCCGTCGTTAACACCCTCGAACGCCGTCTCTTCTACGTTCCATCGTTTAAGATTTATGGTGGTGTTGCCGGGCTTTACGATTACGGGCCACCTGGCTGCGCCGTTAAGTCTAACGTCCTAGCTTTCTGGCGTCAGGTTAGCCTTTTCATTTCTCAACTTCCTACCGAAGATGCGAAATCTTTAGCAGTTTGCTAAGAATTCGTTGCTGTTCATTACGTAGGGGATTTTTGAAATAAGATTCTTGGATTTGAACCTTGAACGTTAAACATCTTGGGGATAACAATCAAAAAGCCAAGTTTGCTAATTCTTTATTAGTTGAAATTTTATAACAGCATTTTGTGTTGGAAGAGAATATGTTGGAAGTGGACTGCCCATGTGTGACGCCAGAAATTGTGCTGAAAGCGTCAGGTCATGTGGATAAATTCACTGACCTTATGGTGAAAGATGAAAAAACTGGAACTTGTTTCCGCGCCGACCATTTGCTTAAGGATTTTTGCAAAGATAAGCTGGAGAAGGACATTAATGTGACAGCAGACAAGGCTGCCGAGTTGAAGCATGTTCTGGCTGTATTGGATGATCTTTCTGCTGAAGAATTAGGTGAAAAGATCAGGGAGTATGGAATTGTTGCTCCTGATACTAAGAACCCACTTTCTGATCCTTACCCTTTCAATCTCATGTTCCAAACCTCAATTGGTCCGTCCGGGTTGAGCCCTGGGTAAGCTTGTGGGTTCTGTTTATTGCATACCCTTTTTTGGGATAGATTCGTGTGTGCAATGAGCCTTGATTTTATTGACTTGAAACATGCAGGTTTATGCGCCCTGAGACGGCTCAAGGCATATTTGTCAACTTCAAGGACCTGTATTACTATAATGGGAACAAGCTCCCTTTTGCTGCAGCGCAAATTGGTCAGGCGTTTAGAAATGAGGTACAAGGCCTTCAATACGAGATACATATTTTTTATTTTTAGTGGAGACTTATTATTGTTGAAACTGTTATCTTTGATGAAGTTGATTTCACTCTGTCCTATGCTTCTTCTATGTTTCCAACATCATTCCCGTAGTAGTAATTGACTAGGGAACAGTGGAAGGAGCTATTCTAGTTTGAGAATTCTGCACCACAGAGCCCCAGCTCTACCCTGCCAAATCTTGTTGAAAATTTTTATGGGTTTCCCAGCTCAGACATTCTCAAATCTGGTTCCATTTCCTTCTGATCACAGTGATGCTAGTTATTTGTTAAACGTTGCACCTAAAGGCTTTCATGTGGTAGTAATAGTAGTTATGCTGGAATGGCTAACATGGTGGTAAGAATAGAGGCTGTTGCAGTAGTAGTCTCTTAATTCATTCTTCACCGAACAGCACTATCCTTTTTCTTCTTTTTGTGAATATGAAGCTTATATCGCACTAAAAATGAGGAATTTAACTATAATCTGGAAAATTCAAACTACAGATATCTCCCCGCCAAGGTCTCCTAAGAGTTCGTGAATTTACACTAGCTGAGATTGAGCATTTTGTGGATTCTGACGACAAGTCACACCCAAAATTTTGTGAAGTTTCCAATTTGGAATTCTTAATGTTCCCAAGGGAAAAACAAGTGTCTGGACAACCCGCAAAACGACTACGCCTTGGTGAAGCAGTTTCAAAGGTTGGTTGGTTTATGTCCAATTTAATTTTAGCTTATACCTAACATCTCTCTCTCAAGCATGCTATTCATCATTGATTGTGTGACTATTCATTGTTTGCTCAGGGCATTGTCAACAATGCGACACTGGGCTATTTTATTGGAAGGGTGTATCTTTTCTTGACATGTCTGGGTATTGACAAAGATCGACTCCGTTTTAGGCAGCACCTGGCCAATGAGATGGCTCATTATGCAGCAGACTGTTGGGATGCTGAAATTGAATGCTCTTATGGCTGGATCGAGTGTGTTGGTATTGCAGATAGATCTGCATATGATTTGAGAGCTCACACAGTAAGTGAACAATAAAACTCAACCTGAATGTCCGACTTTATAAGCGTTTTAAGCCATGGCACTTTCCTTCTTAAATATTTTGAAATAGAGGAAAAGGTAAACAAGTAAAATAACACACCTGTCTATCTTCGTGTTTTCTTTTTTCAGCAAAGATATCAAGTAATTTATTGTCGGATACAAATTTATTGATGTAAATATGCATGTTTCTTCTACCCTTTCATAGGATAAGAGTGGTGTTGCCCTCGTGGCACATGAAAAATTTGCAGAACCAAAGGAAGTGGAGGTAAGTCTCTCAATTTTATCAATTATGAATAGTCTTATAGTTGTTTAATGACTTTTTTGCCGCTTTATGATTTCAGAAACTTGTTATTGCTCCAGTTAAAAAGGAGCTGGGCATTGCATTCAAGGGTGACCAGAGGATGGTTTGTGAAGCACTGGAGGTAAATAAATTAATTTGTAAAGGGTGTGTGATGAACAAATTGGTGAAATAGAGAAAATAAAGAGAGGGCCGAAGGTTTAGGTGTGGCTTTTTGTTAATATATCCAATCCCATATCTTCCATATGAGGTGTGTTACAACAAAATCTGGTGAACTGTGCTGCATTTCCTCCCGCAGGTCATGAGTGAAAAAGAAGCTATGGAAATGAAAGCCAATTTGGAGTCCAAGGGGGAAGTGGAGTTCCATGTATGCACTCTTGCGAAAGATGTCACCATAAAGACGAACATGGTAACAATCTCCAAGGAGAAAAAAAAGGAACATCAGAGGGTTTTCGTACCGTCAGTGATTGAGCCGTCTTTTGGTATTGGACGGATAATCTACTGTCTTTATGAGCATTCATTCTACACAAGGCCTAGCAAGACTGGTGATGAGCAGTTAAATGTTTTCCGCTTCCCCCCGCTCGTGGCACCGATCAAATGCACGGTGTTCCCACTAGTGCAAAATCAACAATATGAGGAAGTTGCTAAACACATTGCCCAAATATTAACTGCTGCTGGGATATCATATAAGATTGATATGACAGGTAAGCACCCATGCAGGGAAAATATAAACTGCTTGTGGCTCTTGGTTTTATATAGTTACTCCGACTGCATTTAGCAGATAAGTGAATGCACCAAGTGTTGGGTTTGTATAGAGATGTAAACTTGGCAACTGATACCAATAGCACTCAAAAACCCTCAAGACTTAAGCCAGATGAATTTAGATTCACTTGTTTGTATCTTTCTGTCTTCAGGTACATCTATTGGGAAGAGATATGCTCGAACAGATGAACTTGGTGTACCATTTGCCATAACAGTGGATTCAACTTCCTCAGTGACAATCCGGGAGAGGGACAGCAAAGTTCAGATCCGAGTTAATGTGGAGGAGGTAGCAAGCGTAGTGAAAGAGGTGACAGAAGGCAACAGCACTTGGAATGATATGCTCTCAAAATATCATACTCCATCTGCGCTGGATGATGAATGATTTCAAGAGTTCATTTTCTGCTATTTTGCATGTGAACTCTATTCTTCAACCCCAATACATTGTGATTTTATAAGTTCGGGGAAAGCACACAAAGGAAAGGGTATCCTTTCGGAATTTTTTTTTTCAGTTTTTATCTTGTTAAATATGCATCATGCTACTATATATTATATTGATATTGGCTATTATACAGTCTGATTTGAGACAAAAGTAAATTATTTCTGGCCTAGTCCAGTTCAGAATAATGCACAAATATACAATCTGCTTAAGCTAAAATAAATACGTAACTACATTAATTGTCAACGATTGTGATTCAAAATGGACTTACCATACATACATAATATAACACAAATAGATTTCTTCCTTACCTCATTAATCAAACTTGTGCCTAGATATATCTCTCTCTCAATTATAAGCGAATTGCAGAATTGGTAGTGGAATCAAAGCTTTAGAAGGCCATATGATCAGGTCCGCCGGAAACGGAGCTAGAAGCCGCGGCACTGTTGCGTTCAGCATGACAAAGCTGTCGGAGCTTGGTGGGAACATACCAAATAGCAAGACGGGGATGAGCATTGAAAATTGCATCAATGTCCCAACCCTGGCGAGCCGCTATAGCCACGAGAGGCTTGTAGCAGGCCTGTCTCCAAGCCCCAACATTCTCGCCTCTCTCCTTGAAAGCTCTCCTCAGCGCATTCGATGCCTCCTCGTCAAGGCAGTGCAGGGCATAGCAATGCACGTAGTGTCGCATTTTGGGTTTGTTAATGTAGCTTGCCCCAGCCTTCTTAGCATACCTGAAAACTTGATTGGTGACCTGTATAAAATTTTCAACCCCATTAAATTGGATGCTGCCCACATATAAAATGTGTCCAAAAATCTTTTTCTCCTTATGCTAAATGGGAGCAGAGTGCAACCTTTTACATGAGATTCAAATATAGAAAATCGTGAAGATTTGATTCTTTTTCTTTATTCCGTAAAATTAAACGAAGAAACAAACATATGATTGTGTGAAAGACTAGTACTAGTACAGAAGCATATAATAGAATTTTGTTTAGACTTGAGAGTTTTTTTCTTGGGGCAGGAGAGGAAGAGGGAGCATTTAGGCATGCTGTACAACCATGACAAGTTAGGATCCAAAATGCAAAGGACTTGGTTCTGAAAACGTCGTTAAAATGGTGCAGCTGTCACATGGGGGGCATGCCACCTCAACCCATTCTGACAGGGAAAAGTATGGCTAAAAGACAGAAAATTATTGAAAGACAAAGTACCCTTTAGGGACCCTACCCTGCAAAAATTTCGACCCACATTTCCCGACCCCACTCCTCCCGTACCTGACTTGTCACATTTTCTGTGGAACAGCTGGCTAGAACCCGTAGCTTTATTGGGAGGGTCCAATTCCAAGATTCTCACAAAGCCATGTTTTACAGCTAGTCACGAGTCAAGCCTCGTGCAGTATGCAGTGTGCACAATTGTGATCAATTTCCAAGTTTTCTTTCTTGTTCGGTTAAAAAGCCTCAATGAATAACCTCCTCTTAAAAGCGGTTAATTCTTCTCGTTTGATTGCATAAAAGAGAATAAAAATAATATAAATCTGAACCGTCCAGATATTTCCAGGATAAGGGTATTAATTTTGTTTACCTTCGTGGGGCATTTTTCCCCACGCTCCTTGGCAATGTTTTGGACTTGAATCAAGAACTCCCGGCATTGCTCGTAGAGATGGAAGAGGTAATCGAGACCGTTCTTTTTGCCTCGTGCTACCTCACCAGGCTCTGTGACAATGAAAGGGTGCTCTCGCTGTCTCTCGTAGCCTCCAATATCACCATTTTCATCATCTTCGGCACCCTCTAATTCATCGTCATGATCAACTTCTACCACCTTCTTCTGTCCCTTCCTGCACCGCTGTTTCTTCCTTCCCCCAGCTACTACCACCTCCCACGTGCCCCCTCCACCGCTCCCTGCCGCCTCTTTTTCTTGCTGCACTGGCTCCTCTGATAAACCTGTCAGCCACACTCTTTTCATCACCCCCAACAAGAAAGAAGAAAGAAACAAAAAGAAATATTACTCACATACTCTTTAATTACATCAAAATATTGCTTCCTCTTTCATGATAAGATTTGAAGTTAAGATATTTTTTTTTTCTTTGGTTGAGAAGTTAAGATAATGTTGCACCAGCCAAGAGAACATAAAGAGCTACACGTTAATTTTTAAAACATCTAAAGTCAAAACCATCCAGCAAAGTTATGCAGCTTGCTTCGCAACAATTTTCCCATTCAGATCAAGCCAACTTTATAGAACTATGACGATAAGGTTTTTGTATAGAAAATGAGCTCAGCCCTCAAAGGCAGCTGCTCAACATTTACGTGTTATAGTATCTGTCCTAAAATGAACATCATATATGTATATTACCAAAGAAAGAAAAAGAACAAAAAACTGTCACTGGATATGATACTTCTTTTACAAGTCATTTCTAGAGTCTATTACGTCAGGCGAGAGCAATCATAATAGTAATAGGAAGTAAATTAATTAGTATAACTCTATAAACTTATAAACAAACCTTCCTGGGAGAGGGCATCAAGAGCGTTGGTGGTGTCACCTGAAGCCAAGTGTCGTCGCCTCGAATCCTCTTCTTCAAGCCTTCTCCTTTCAGCTCTAACAGCCGCCTTAATACCATACCTCTCACCCACTAGCAGCTCCCACCTGAATATCTGCGACACGCTATTCATCATCTCATCTAACTCCTCCTCCTTCATGCCTAGAAGGGTGCTCACAGTGAACCCTAACTCGGCTATCTTCGCAGCAGTGTAGTATCTGATCCCATAAGCTTGAAACAACTCCTCTATCCCTCCGAGCTCCCTAGGCCCCCTCCCCATGTAAGCAGCCGCAACCGCAGCAGCCGTCTGCGGCTGAGGAGGAGCCACAGCCTCCATCAAACGCGCCGGCGTTGGCGCCACTACTCCTCTTGGGTCCCACTTGAAGAAGCCCCCTGTAGTGAAAGCCTCAGGGTCCATTGGTTCTCTCTCTCTCTCTCAAGTCTCAAGAAAAATGGAGTGAACAAAAACAACAAAAAAAAAACTACTTTCTTTTCTCTTTATGTTTTGTAGGGTTAGTTGGCGAGGGAACCTGTCGGTTGCTATAAAGACAGGAATTTCAGAATCCCCAAACTACCCTCGCATGACTGGTTTTTTTGCGTTGTTAGGGGGAAACCAAACTTTCGGAACCTAACCAGTAACCAGCGAGAGACAGTCATTCAGCTTACCCTACCCTTGCAGTTAATGTTGCATTTCCGTCTGCTTGCAGTGTGACCAATAGGAACTCGACACGTCGTGGAAGCCAAAATGATTAGACCTTTCACGTACCTGATCCCATGAAGGGGTACGGCAGATTTCGGTGATTTAGATGAGGTTTAGGATTTTAATGTGGAATGTTTTGAGCCATCTGATTGGTGATTAGGGAGATCCGTAGGGTAATATTGATGCATCTGAGGAGTGCCAGATACTGTTTCCTTGACTTTTCTTGTTGAGCATGGGTTTTCGTTTTAAAACTTCGTTGGACTTGCCTGGTCTGATTTCTTTAAGCAAAACGATCAACATTCCACTGCTTTCAATGTACCAAAATGCCCCCCATTTTTCCCGAAAATACTGTTCCCCTCTCCTTTTCTAACAATGTTATTTTTCTTAGTTTCTTCCATTACTGTCCATTTATTTTATGCATGTAAGTTTTTTTTTTCCTTATTTAGAGAATAAAATCTTTTGATTAAAGGATTCCAATCTAAGTCTTTGAAAATGTGGTACATATATTTTTTATTTGATCAAAGTACTTGGGTGTATAATGTTAAAAAAAATTAACCAATGGATAATTGGCTTAATAATTAGTAAATTATTTGTCCTATTAATCCTAAATTTTACTTTTATTAATAACTTTTCACTGCTATATCGAAATGTACAACACAAACAACTTATTTTCGCCACTTAATTTATTGGATAAAATACCTCCAACTCACTAAGTTTTGATCTTAATGGCATATAGGTTTAGTATTTTTCAAAATAAATACTCTACCCTAAATATCTAAATAGTGTTAATATTAAATATAAACATACAATATCTAAAATATCTTTTTATTATTATTTTTCTCATGTTGATCAGCAACGGCCCTTGCACTAGTTGACCACCCAACACTCCCAAGGGAGGGGAGCTCCAGTTGGGCTCCCTAAGCGGAACATCGATGCTCCCTAAGGAGCCTGATTAAAAACTTTGTTCTAAATTAATAAAAAATTGATAAAATTATATAATAATAAATTTAAAACACTAATAATTAATTAACAGTTGAAGTTGAACTTATGTAACAAGTAAAAAATATTTATTTAAGACGAAATAATCATTTTAAAAATCAATGAACCCCTTTAAAATTTTAATTAAACTTTAAGAGATAGAGTTATTTTACCTTAATTTATTTGATACTTGTATAATGTCTTTTGTTTACATCACATCGTCGTTGTTCTTATTCTTATTGAGTTTGAATTTTCAAATTTAAATTATTTAATACTTACATAAATTTAAATTTAATTGAGTGATTTATTTATAATATGTTTATTTACACTCTTGACACTATTGAATATGGCTGAACAGACACAATCTTACTTCTCCCAAAAAAGAAATAGATGTGAACATTGATTAAATCTACATATATTTTCATATCTTTTATCTGTCCTTTACTTTAAAAGGCCATAGATGCAAGCACACTCAATGAAATATATGCAATATAGGATAACGTAAATATTATTAATATAACTAATATTATTAATTTGTACCTAATGCCACCTGTTGCATGCATGTAAAAATAGTCAACTTTAATTGAGTGAATATTTAGGATAAGATCCAAATTTATCATTTGAGGGTGATAAATCAAATTTATCATTAATTTTTGAAAGGGTGTGATTTTACTATTGTATTTTATAATTTATCATTAATTTTTGTACAATATTTCTATTTTTTTTTTGGACTTGATGGAAGAGGGAGTTAAATCATGTTTTTTAAATAAATAAATCTTCCATTAACTAATAAATCAAATATTTGGATGTTTGTAAAATACTTTTTTATTGTTATATTTTAGCTAATTTTGAATTAAATTAAAAAATATAAAAACAAAATTATGTCTATTAAAAAATGAGTGATGAATTTGATTTAAAAATGGAACCTTATGAGTGAATATTTCAAACACAAGCTTCATTGAATCCAAAGTAAAAATGATAAAAAAAAAATAGTTGAGTTTGATTGAATGGATTCATTGTCTTTTAAAAGTTAATTACTTTATCTACGTTAGCTTGGAAGGGAAAAATTGAAAAAAGAAGGACACTTGTGCATTAGCTAAATGCAGGGAAAGGAATTCAAAGAGAGGGGCTTCGCTCCCGAATGCAGCCAAGGGCAAGAAAAAGAGAGGCTTGTAGTTGTAGGGGAACAATGGAGGCCTCTGAAAAGCCTTCTCTGCGACTGCCAATCTGAACCTGGAGCCTTTCAATTAAGACAAGTTCTGGAAAGGCTAACATCGTAATTTCAAAGAAAATAGCCAAATTAACTTAAAAGAAAAAGACCATTATTTTATTAATTAATACAGTATTCATTGGCAATGCAAAACTTCAGAGAAGTACAGAAATGGTCAGGTGTTTCAGCTGAACCCAGTTGCCGAAGCTCTCTGATAAAGACTGTTTTCATTTGTACTTGCAAAGACAACATCACTTCTCAAAGCCATGATCTAATGCTTTTCTTCCTGTCTGCTCCCACCATCAAGACCAACATGATTGGTCCATGACACGGAACGCTGGACACATGTGCAGATGTCATTGGTGGTATGTATTTCTGGACTAAAAAGTCTAGTGCTTCGGGATTAAGGAACAAACATGGGAAGAAAGTGAAGAAACCTCCTACCACCTATGAGAGATCTTTATCTTCTTTTCAGAATTATTAAAGATTAAAGAAAAAAATATCTTTGGTCAACCGGATGGTCACTTTCAGTTTGACCAATGGAAAGACGACACGTCATGCCTCTGCTGGATGCTAACAATTCGTCCCATGACTGAGTCAGTGGCGTTTGCTTCATCAGAGGGGGCTGATGGGCTTACACCCAGCAACAGTACTCTTTCTTTTACAACTTTCTTTGTCTTTTCTTTCTTGCTTCCCTCTCTCTCTCTCTCTCTCTCTCCTCATTACCAACATTTTGTTTTGTTTTGTTTTTCTTCTGTTATGCCCTTGTTTCAGTTTTGGGTCCTTTTCCTACCCTGCTGTGCTGGCTACAACCTGAAACTGTGGTACTGTTTTGGAACAGATTCTCCATATATTTAATTTAATATTTTAATTTTTTTGGTTCATTTCATATTATAAATTCAATTTTGTTATAATATTGATATACGATGTTTTTTATATATAAAAAAAGTTAAGAGGGGAGTTAACATATACCACAAGTATTAAAGTCAAGCTGGGAAGGCGAGTTTGGCCTTTTGGGTCTTGAAAATTGAAATCGTAGGAGACCAGAATTAGCCCATGGGTGTGGGTTCATTCCTCCTTACTGGCAAAGCAAGCCAGCCCAGTCCCACTTTCGTGTTGGCAACACCCCATTTCAATCGGCAATGTTTTTTTCCCTCAAAGGCTGGCTGAGTCCAACGAAAGGGAAAAGAGGCAGAAACAGCAAGGTAGAAGAAAGATATGCAGAGAATTGGAGTGAAGAAGCTGATTCAACAGACCTCCGCGGCAATCAGATGTACCCATTCTCACACTTCACTCTCTTTCTCTGCTGATTTCCTCCACCATTCTAGAGGTGCCTATTTTCACTTTATTCTTATTTCTTTCAATTCATATCTTTCTTTTTACTACTAGTAGTAGCAGTTAGAGGAATCCGACAAGTTAAAATGCATAAAATGGTAATTGAAGCAATAAAATATGTTCATTAATTGAACTCATTTCTATAATGCCTTGTAAGCTTTACCATTGTTATGGTTTTGTATCTGAAATCATTGGAGAATTTTCGGGGGTGGTTTGGTTTAATGTCTTAACGTTTAAAATACCATCTTCCATGAACCCGTCTTAACCTCAACTTGATTAATGCGGCACTTTTTATATTTTTATAGATCATCGTACAGTATGCAAGATTCTTGAAGCCTGCAAGCTCTCCTCAGATTACAAGACTGCAAGTGCAATCCACGCAATAATCTTTAAACTCGGGTATGGAACTTATCCATCTCTTGTCACTACTTTGATATCTACTTATTTGCAATGTGGTTGGCTCGTTCTAGCTCATCAACTTATTGATCAAGTTTTTCGATCGGATTGTGATTTGGTCATTCTGAATTTAGTTATTGAACATCTAATGAAACTTGGAGAATATGGTTCTGCAAAGAAGGTGTTTCATAAAATGCCCGTTCGAGATTTGGTGACATGGAACATGATGATTGGAGGATATGTTAGAAATGCACGCTTTGAGGAGGCTTTGAGCTTCTTTCGTGACATGCTTGGCTCAAATGTGAAGCCAGATAAGTTTACATTTGCATCAGTTATCACAGGGTGTGCACGACTTGGAGCTCTTAATCATGCGTTATGGGTGCATAGTTTGATAACTGAGAAAGAAATTGAACTAAATGCCATACTGAATGCAGCTCTAATAGATATGTACTCAAAGTGTGGTAGAATTCACACTGCAAAGGAAGTTTTTAATAGAGCCGAGCACAATGATGTGTCTATCTGGAATGCTATGATTAATGGGTTAGCAATTCATGGGCTTGCTTTTGATGCAATTGCGGTGTTTTCAAAGATGAGGATGGAAAATATTTTACCTGATTCAATAACTTTTATTGTACTCTTAACCGCATGCAGCCACTCTGGTTTGGTTGAAGAGGGTCAGAAATACTTTGATTTAATGAGTGGGCATTATTCAATTCAGCCACAAATTGAGCATTATGGGGCAATGGTTGACCTCTATGGTCGAGCTGGCCAGCTAGAAGAGGCTTATGCCATTATTAAAGAAATGCCTATGAAGCCAGATATTGTTATTTGGAGGGCACTTTTAAGTGCTTGTCGAACTTATAGAAAACCAGAACTGGGTGAAGTTGCCATTGCAAATATATCACGTCTTGAGAGTGGTGATTATGTCTTGCTGTCAAATATCTACTGCTCTGTGAAGAAATGGGAGAGTGCTGAAGGACTCAGAGAAATGATGAAAAAAATAGGAATTCGTAAAATTAGGGGTAGGAGTTGGATTGAGTTGGGAGGAGTCATTCACCGTTTCAAGGCAGGTGATAGATCTCACCCTGAAACAGAGGGATTATACAAAGTGTTGGAAGGGCTGATACAACGGACAAAGTTGAAAGGGTTTCTTCCTGAAACGGAGTTGGTTTTAATGGATATCTCTGAAGAGGAAAAGGAAGGAAATTTGAATCATCACAGTGAGAAGTTGGCACTGGCTTATGGAATCCTAAAAACTAGTCCTGGAACAGAAATTATGATCTCAAAAAACCTCCGGATCTGTCATGATTGCCACAATTGGATAAAAATAGTTTCAAAACTATTAATCAGGGTGATTATTGTTAGGGATCGAATTCGTTTTCATCGGTTTGAAGGTGGTTTATGTTCTTGTGCAGACTACTGGTAGCTTTTCTATTTGCTCTTTCAAGTTTTATTTTTATTGTTTAAGGCATTTCATAAACCAAGGTAGCATTATTAGTATATCCCCTGGTGCCCATGAACACTGGGGAGCTGGTTGGCCAGGATTGAGGGTTCTTCTGGGAAGAATAGTTATTCTGACTTTTTTGCTTGGTGTATCTCAAAGTATTGGTGGGAATTATTTGTAGTTAATGGGGCATTCTTCATTTGTTGCTGTTCAAGCAGTATCCTATCATTTGCCTTCCTCCATTGCCTAAAGAAAATGGGGAAAAAAACAAGTATCCTTATGAATCCAATCTTTTGTAGCATATGAATTAGCATTGTCATATTGCTTGGAAGAGGATCAAACTTAATTGATATCTGGTACCATGCTTGTCAGCTTATACTTAAACAATTTGGACCCTTTACGGAATCAGCTGAAATTTTGGAAGGTTTTTGTGTTTCTATCATTGCTATATATCATTGATGGCTGATAAGATATTCTTGGCTATAGGATAACATTTGTTTAACTTCAGTACAGCAATTATTTGATTAACTCTGCAGTAAAATTTGTTTTAGTTAGATACTTCAACACTGTTGAGGGGATGATCTCTACTGCTAAATTGATTTGTTGGAGCAGATGGAAATGCTGTTAGACTCAGGTGAATTACACGTCATTTTACTTGGAAATAAATAACCCTCAATACGATCTTTTATGAGTAGCATTATGGTTCTTGGTTTTTCTTTGGTGCCATTGTACCTTATTAACTAACTCATTAAAGTTTAATATTCATAGTTTGTCATGGACAATATTTAGAAACTTGTATAATGATAGGTGATTAATTTCTGTTTAATGAAAGCTTGCCATTGTCATTGTTCAACTATCAAATATGTGCTAATTTCTGAATAAATGATTAACAATGAGACAAACAGCGCTCACTGTACTCCCTTTCATGTCTTAATAAAATGTGAAATTGAAAATTGAGTCTTTTATAATCTTAATGTCAGTACCTAATGTCCTTTACTGTTTCAATGGAAGATAATTCAGTGTCCTGGCTTCAGTTTAACTATAGCTATATCGGTGTATCTAACATCTGCACAATCTTTGATATAGCTGTCCATGTTACATTTTTTATAACTTCCATATCTCCCAGTCTTTTGTGTTTGTTTGACTTGTCATTATTGGTTAGTTTATTTGGTTTGGTGTATAAATAATTGTAGATTAAATGTCTTTAAGATTTTGTGTTCCAATACAGATCTCCAAGCCATATCTGGGTGTGATTCTGGGTCACACAGCAACTGTGGTGAATGTGAATCATCCCACTTCAAGGATGGACATCATGAATGTGTGCCCAATGCCTGTGAATAGAGTCTGTTGGTGCCTGTGGCAACCAGGCATGTCTTCACCTTATCTCAAAATGTTGGTGTGAGGTCAGTTTGTTGCTCATAAGCTGCCCTAATCCTTATGATCATGCTGAGCATGTTTCTCTTCGAGGATTTTCTCCCTCTTCCTTGAGGTTCAGCATGCTGCATTTGGCTTCCGTTTGTGACCTTGCAGATAACCTGCAGTCAGGAACTTGAAAAGGATTGCGCAAATGCTTGAATTACATTTCTAAACCAAGCACTCCTTTAGCTGCTGATTTGTGTGGCAATAATAAAAATGCTTTGACAATATTTGCTGGGCAGCATCCTCAAAGTCAGAGTTCTGCGTTTGCACCCTGCGAATTCCTTTTCTAAACTTATAAAGAGTTTTGTTCTGGGTCATTTTTGGACATTAGGCATATACCTGAACTATAAACTTTTTGATTGAGCTGCCATCACCTGAACCTGGTGCTTTGTTTTTCTTTAACTTACTTTTGAATATGCTTGTTTTTAGCGGTCATGAACTAATCCACCTTAGCTTACTATCATGTTAAATTCAATTACTTTTAGACTATTTATTTTGATCATATTGGATCCATTTCTTTTTCCTTTTGTTGGATGATTGAAATTTTGATTCATCCAAAATAGGAAGTAGAATACCTGCTAGAAGCCTAGAACAGGTTAAATTCTGCAGAAGGTAGCAAAGAATGAATGGAAATTATAAGGTTCACATCCAACCGATTATAGACAACAAGAATGAGATAGAATCACAGAACAATAATTTGCATGTATTCACTCTTTTAAGCTGGTGAGAGAACTGGATACCTCAGTTATATTTCACCATATTTTTTGCTGCCAATATTTCTCTTTATAAGTTTTGCAGATCTTGTTGGGATTTACAGTCTTATTGAAAACCAACTTATCCTACAGCCGTTGATAATGGGTAAACCTTTCCTGCATATATACTCTCTGCTTTTCTCCAGTTGCTTATTGAACTTCCAAACACTGCTCTCATTCCGAAGTTACTTTCTTTTAATGGACCTCATGAAATAAATGAAGATATATAATTTCAGTGAACAGATGGATGCATCCCATTAATGTCTTTGAGCAGACTCTTTTAGTCTAAAGAGTGAACTAAGGTGGCGTTTGGTATGAGGGATGTAAGCCACATTCCCTGCAATGTGGTTTATTAAATTACATTGCAGTGTTTGTTTTGTAACAGATCACTGCAATGTAAGATTGCAATGCAATCACATTGCAGCTAATGGATGTAATGTGATTGCAGTCCAAAACTAATGCAATCACATTATATTGCACTCTGTAATATTCTTAAAAATAATTTTACCTTTCAACTTTATTATTTTATTAAAAATATTTTATAATATTATAATTAAAATAAATATATAATATAAGAATAAAAATTAAAATAAAATAAAATAGTGTTTAGACTATTGCACTCTGCAGTTCATAAATAGTGTTTAGCAGTCATGAATTGGAACCAATGGCAGTTTGCCACCATACGTTTCTGGGAGCTGGCTTTCGTCTATCTCGTCAAGCAGAGTTGATTTGAGCGTCTTGTTCCCAACAAATACGATCTGTGAAGATGCACACAAACTTTTTATGTCAGTCTACCGTAACGTGATAGCTAATTTAGCTTCAATTTGGTGTCAAGAATTCAGAACTCGACCTTCTTCCGGGTTTTGTTGTCGATAAAAGGGTAAACAATCTTCCAAGCTGTCATGAATATGTACGGTGCATGAACTATGAAGAGCTTTTCAAGCCTTTCAGGGTAGTAGTCCTGCCAGTTTCAAGGAAGAAATTATGTTACCTTGTAATCTTAGGGCTAATTACTTATCTTTTTCCCCTGATCATTTGAGCAGGGAAGAAGATAAAAATGGAAAACGATGCATTGGTACTGGGCAGTTTTTTATATATTTAATTAAAGTGCTGAACCTGCACGAGAGATAGAGCTGCAAGGTATGCACGGATGTCGCTGTTTGCATAGCCCCAACCTTCAAGATCTCCGATAACAACGAATTTCTCCTGTCCTGGAAGCATCCTGGCACAGCAAGATTGCATCAAATATTCAAATACAGCCTATAGATAGGTGCCATAATCCCAAAGTTCTATGCTGCTTCAGTCTGATTACTGATCATGAGCACGTGATTCTATATTGTACTAGGCACCTCTGCCTGTGCGTACGGGTGATACAAATGTATCCTCAAGAACAATTGATTGGCTGATCAATAAACATGGATAAGGGATTACCTAGCAAATATTTTGTCGAAAGTGTAGACTATAAAACCTGTATATTGAAGTGGCAGATTAAAATAAATAAAGAAACATGTCTGGGCAAAATCAGATCAAAATTATTAGCAGCCAGACTTTGATAAATGTTTTTGGAGTTGGAAAAATGACGTACGCTTGAATTCTTCCGCACCCCCTTTATGTTGAAAATGTCTTGCACCAAGAACAACTGCTATGGGTCGTCCTTTCTTGTCTGATCCTTGCAGAAACATCTTGTTCTGTTCAATTTCATGTGCAACTTCTGACGGAGATATGGAACCGTTTGGAACAAAGTTTCGTCTCCACTTCAGGTACTTAAGGAACATGGCAGATGCTTTCTCTACATCTAAATCACGAGCTCGCAGAAATCTTCTGAATGTCAAATCATCTACTTCCTGCAAATTGAAATTCAGCGCCATCTTCTCAAACCATCAGCAGGCCAGTGGCAATGAAATAGAACACAAGCAAAACCTCGGTGACTTCAGGCAAAGACTTGATTAACTATATATTTTTCCATGTTGGTTATTTTAGTACTTGTGAGTGTTCATACGTCCTGGATTTCCACTTTCTTCTCAACTTTGTAACAATTGATAAAGTTAAGCAATAATTTTGATGCTAGATGAAGATATTAAAGGCAACATGTGTTATCCAGGAATTGTACTGAATTTCTTGCCCAAGTATTGTAAGAGAAGGGTAGGTTGAGATTCACATGTACAGGGCAGGCAGGCACCTCCTGACCCCGAGGCTCAGGACCTGAGGTATGTTGCTGGTAATGATTATCCATTTCATCCTTTTACATGGAAGACATTACATGAATACTTCAATTACATGATAAAATGAAAATCCAGATAAATGAAAAACTTAATGAAATTATCCGGAGACACCTAGACTTGGTGGTAACGGACTGATCAGGAGCTTCTTGACGTCTTTTAACTGGCATGTTTATGGAGAATGTGAGAGTTGTTGATGGTGAAATATAGGCTGTGGCACAAGAGTTTCCTTCTGGTTATCCGGAAACATGAAGGAAGAAATTAATATATCTTGGAGAAAAGTTTTCTCCAATGGTTAATTAAGGCTTTAACTTCATTCCGGGTTAGAACATGGCAAACAAACATGAAGAAATCATGATTTTGTAGAATTTATACGAAGGAAACTTTCTCTTCACCAGGTACCATGTGTTTCATTATCTCTTTTAGAATCTTACAACGAAGGAAAATCGCCAAAACAAAATAAAGAGAGAGAAAGAAACAAGAATGACTAACAATAAAAAAAAGGAGCAAACCCTCTGTTCTGCAGATGGATAGGATAGCCGCAAGAAATACAACAAAACAGAAGGGAAAAGAAAGCAAGAAATTAGAGAAGCAAGCAAACCTTGGAAGAGGGATCTTGTGTTTCGACCAAAGTTCTCATAAGACTTATTTTGGTCTTCTCTATCTCATTGCCTTTAAAGCTCTCTTCTTCTGTTTCCATGGAGCAGTCCATGCTATCAGAACTCATCATCATCATCATGATTCTCCGTTCCCTTCCTCAGTGTATGTATATAAATGATGCGGGAGGAGGCTATACTTTTCCACCCAAAGATTAACCTTTTCAGAACAAAATCTAGTCCTTATCGGTCACGTCTCTAACATTAAAAGCAGAATTCAAAGCTAAAGCTGTTGCCGTTGAAATCAGCTCGCCGCTTAGACAGTTCGGGAAGTTTAACTACACATTGAAAGCGTCGTTGCTACGTAGCTTGGCCGGACAACGGTGAATCCCAGCCTTCATTGGAGATTTTGAGTTTTTTTTTTTTCTCTTTTATCAATTTTTTATTTACTCGCATAACTTAATATATTAATATATATAATTTTACATTTTTTATAGTTTCATGTACAATTAATATTTTAACAAAATCAACCTTTAAATTTAATAATATATTCATACTTGTCATGGAGTAAGGTAAAATTTTAAGTTAATTCGATGTTTTATTATATCAATTGATAAAAATTATTAAAGAATCATTAATAATGTTAAGAGATCGAAATTCATATTTACTAAAGATTATCTTCACTTGACAACTGTTAGTCTTATTAATTGTATGTACTAATTTTTATCAATGATTTTTTAAAATGGATAAAATTTAATGTGTTACATTTTAATAAATTAAATCTTAAAATAAAAAAATTTAACAAAGTTATATTTAAACCTTCTTTTTATTATCTTATATTTACATTTTTCTACCACGCTTAACAAAAGATTTTAAACTCAAACATAATTTAATTTAATACTATATAAATATGGCTTCATTCCACAGATATTTCTCTGCACCGTAGTTGACCAGTTGGGTTGGTTAGAAATGGTTAAAGACTTCATAGTTGCTTCCATTTATTGCGGGCATAAATGGTTTGGTTGCTTACAACTTTTCTTCGCCAATTGTCAGCCATTTTGACCATACCCTTACCCGCCTCTCCCCTCTCCGCGCAGCATGGAATTGTATAGGCATGTTATCCAGCTCGGCTGCATAGAAATTTAATTAGTTATAACATGCCATTCACGCTTGCTTGGGAAGCAGGGACGGACGGAGTCAGGGTTCGAGCCAGGATCACGTCCAGGCCAAGTCCATCCTAATTTGAATACGATCGCGTTGCTCATGCACCCAGATCCTGGTCAACTTCAACGAACCCCAGATCTTGTTCATGAAAAATGCAGCAAATTTGTAACCCACCATGGTTGATGCAGCCTCAGCCGCTGACTTGGGTACCAAGGAAAGCTAAGGGATTATATATGTTTGATAACAATGAATCTCTAACATCTATTAAATAATGTTTGCTAAAAGGAGAATTCAGTTCCAAAATCCTGGTAAACCAATTAGCTGATTCCATACACTTAATTAGCAAATATATGAAATCATGAGCTTTTCATGTGTCATCTACTTAACATTTTCCCAACAAGTCACACCTCAGCTAACCGGGAAAATTGGTTCAAAGGGAAGTATAATAACAAATTAAAGCACTAACCAGTACAGTTTCTTTCCACAGTTTAATCGTACAACTTGGGTTGTTCATCATATTAATTACTCATTCATAACTTTTTTTTTTGTATGATTGCAGTTACACTTGTGATATTTGAATCACATGTTAGGTAGGTGCAGATCATTTTCAGTATTCAATGCAGCATGCATAACTGTTTTGTACTATCGATTTCTCAGTACATTAGTAATTACTGTCTTTGTTTTGGGAATTTTTCTTTTGGATTGAATACTCCCTTATTCTGATGGAAATAAATTCAAGTTAACTAGGAATTATATGCTCATAGTTTAGTAAGTTAGTGGTAATTAAAAAGTCAAGTATTAGTGAGAAATGCACATAAATACTAATAAATTCTTCAACCATTTCAATTGTATATTCAATAAATTAAGATGTGGCATACAACTTGAACTTATGGTATCACTGTATATATGGAAATATTAAGATATTTTCTAAATTCATATCTTGGATTTGTAGTCCAGAGTTAGAAACCACCACTAGCATGCACTTGTTTAAGTTTTAAGAGAAGTTAGATAATCTCAATAATTAAATGTTCTCAAACCAAATATTAGAACTAAATGAAAAAAATAGGAACATAATATTTAAAAAAGTATTGAATTATTTTAAAAAAATTTAAATAAATTTTTATTTTTTTTATTACGTTCAATCAAAGCTTTATTTTTTTTATTTTGAATTAAATAAATTTTTATGATTAATAATTAACTAATTATACTTAATTAAAATATTATTTATCATTATATGCCATGTGACGTTAGATATGTTGACATGTTATAATTGATAATAACGTGATATGCCTTCATGTGATATTTTTTACTTTTCATGTCATGTTAAATCAACGTTATAAAGATATAAAATAACAAATAATGATTTAACTAATGATCATTAATTAACTATTAATCATAAATATTTATTTGATCTAACAGAAAAATATATGTTCTTGATTAAACATAATAAAAAAATAATTTTTTAAAATTTTTAAAATAATTAAAATAATTTTTGAACATTATGTCAAAAACGAATTAAATTGAATTAGTTGGAGCTAATGAAATAGGAAAACTATCTCTCATTGGATACTCTATTTAGCATTTAATAGTCGCACCTTAGAGGTATCACAATTTAGTCTTTATGAGGACTGAAATTACTGGCTACTGACGAGCTACGTTTCATTTAGGTATCAATCCTTTTCTCTAATTAACGCAACATACATGTATATAGTTTCTACTTAAATATCTTTCCATTACATTAATTAACCATTACATTTTCTAAATTTTCTTTCGATTGATTAATTATCCTCTTAATCTGATTGAATAAAGTGGGGGACAGCTTGTATCCGTCATAATCATAATAATGTCCCATCAAATTCGAAGTCACAACTCCCAAATGATCCAACTAGTTAGAGCCAAATTGAGAGATTCGGTAGGAAATAATAGAAGGGTCATGTTTTGGAACTTGAGTGAACAACTCAAGTCTCGACAAGTGGCCTGAAAAAGAAAAGAAAGGCAATGGGCCTATCGTGACGGATAAATAAGGTTCAGGCCCCTTGGGGGCTAGGCCTTATGAATTAAAAACAATGGATTTGCTACGTATGAAAAAATTAGTGAAATAAAAATAAAATTGATGTATTCAAATATTCCATTTATTGTTCATACAACTCATGTCTCGACAAGTGGCCTGAAAATGAAAAACAAGAGGATGGGCTTGTCGTGAGGGATAAATGAGGTTCAGGGCTCTTAGGGCCTAGGCTTTATGAATTACAACAATGGATTTGGTATGTATGAAAAATTAGTGAAATAAAAATAAAATTGATATATTTTAATATTTAATTTATTATTTAGTATATAATGTCATTATTTTAAAAATATAGTTCGAATCCTCTTTCAATAAATACATACAAAGGATTATGAGTTCCAAGGAGCAAACATATGATGAAGCAGGCGGACCCTCTTTGCTTACTGCCCACAAACAATTATAGAAACAATCACGATTCATAACACTCTTCGTCAGCTGCTATTTTTGTATCATTCATAACCCTCTTTGGTTACCGCACAACTGATCTGGTCACTCCCCAACCATTCCACAATAATCAATGGAAGGAGCTTGCTAGATGGATTACTCTTAAACACGAATTGGCGAGTACGTTGAAACACACATATTCCCAGTGGGTGATTTGCTGCGTCAGTGGCCCTTGGTTGATTTTGCAATATCAGCATCGAAATTACAGACCATTTTCTGGAATTATTTCCACAATCCAGGCAATGTCTAGACTACATTTAACCTTAACAGCCGCTACCCAAACAAGTTTTGTTATTCATGAGATTGCCAGGATTGGGTGCATCATAGTGGTTAAGTGTTAGGTGTTGAAGAATTGCCATGCATGCTTGCGAGACTAGAAGCTTTCAAGTTCTGACAAAAACAAGACAAGTGATGGTGCATGACGGCTTTTACTCATTCAATTATAAGTCCTTACAATTTTGAAAGCAAGTCTTTGGCTCTTGTTTCTGTCAGGTATGCATAAGAATCCAATACATATACTAAATACCATTAGAATTTCTCATGCTCAACTCTTTAGACTTCATTTAATTCTTACTTAAAATACTTAATTTTTACTTTTAAAAGCAAAAAAGAAAAAAAGAAATCTTTTGGATACATAATAAATAATAGCACCATTGTATTTTTAAATGATTTAAACATAACTGAAGAGTAATTAATGTGATATTAAATTATTAATATAAATTGTAACTTATTTTACAAAAACTTAATTTTATTTTTTAAAGTCCCAACTCATGATCATGATAAAAACAAACTTTTCAAACTTCAAACCAAAATTAATACCAGCCAAAAATTCAAATTATATAAAAATAAAAGTAAATTAAATATATGTAAAAAAAAGAGCCTAAAATAGTTACTTGTACTTGATCTCCAATATGGTTAATTCTTGAGCTGTAGTAGCTAGCTAGAGTCATTAATACCTTATATACATCTGTTCCCTTGTAAATACTTTTATTTGTCTTTGTTTTTTGCTAAGAGCATAAACTTAACTGGCATAGCATAAATAAATTACCTTTAATGGTAAACTTTAACCCTTCATTTCCTTCTTACTATAAACAAAGTAATCATGATTGCTTTCCCATGAAAAGGGTCTACCAACTCTCATTACCGTCCTCTTCATTTTCAGCTAAAACCATGGGGAAAAGAAAAAGAAAAATCCTGAGAAAATAGCAATGTAGAATCGTTTGGTGTCGGCACCAGCACGTTGTATTTGTTTTAAATATTAAAGAAATTGATTAAATAATTAAGAAAAAATATAAGAAAAAGGGGAGGCAGGTCGAAGGTTGATGGCAATGGTTGGATTCTGGTACCTATGAGATGGACTACTCATCAAATCAAATCAAATGAAAACACAAAATTAAACGAAAAGATATATAAATTACTAAAACCCAACCTTTTTCTTTTTTGTATCATTTGTGTCAAATACCCACAGTAGTATTTTTTGTTTTAAAAAAAGAACCATTATTGGAGCAAAAATTTGCTTGTCCTTCTCTATCAAAGGCTCTTGCTCTTTCTTTGTCAAACTAACCATAGAAGGGAAAAGAGAAACCCATTTCTTTCATACGCTTGAAAGTCTGGAAATCTTAAGAAATCTCCCTCTCTCTTAACTACTTGTTCTTGTGACATCACAACTGTTTCTTTTCCTTTGGTTTTTTTTTGTGCTTTTTATTTCTGTTTTATATCTCTTTGGAGGGGGGTGGTGTGCAGCCGTGTCTTGGGTTATTTCTTTGAGCTCGTATTCTTTGCTAGATTGGAGAGATTTTGGTTAGTGTTGAAGGAGTAATACTGGGAAGAGAAAATGAAGATTTTGAGATGGGTATTTGTTGGAATTCTTTTTCTTGCCGCTTTTGTTTTCAAGATTGAGGCTTTCGAGCTGGGTCGTAGTCAACCTACTGAGAGAATTTCAGGTAAGATTCATCCTTTACTATATTTCTCTGAGGGTTCATTTAGCTGAATTCAGCAATATAGTTTTGATAATTTTGTTGGGTTTTCTTCCTTACTAAGAACTAATGTAGTGAAGAATTTGGCCGATCTGCTCTGAGTTTAAGCTGGATTAGACATTTCCTTGGTGGTTTCTGACTTTAAATTGGTTCCTCCGGCTTTTTTTTTTTTTCGTTCACACCATTAGAATGTTTTGTGTTTACCAATCACGTAGTGTAGTTGAGCATTTCTTTCCATAATAATGCAGATTTTCATATAAAAATTTAAATGTTGTCAAGGTGGATACAGTTCCTAAGGTCTCAAAATTAGTTAATTCCAATGATAACGGGGATAGAACTACCTAATAGTACCTTATAATACATGTGGGCATTGAGGAAATTTTGTTTGGACTATTAATCTATAACGCTAATACAGAAGCAACATTGTTCGAAAAACTGGAATCCTCATAGCATATCCTTACAGTGATATTAATCTTAGTTGAGATGCAGCATAAGAATTGTACAAGATTTAGAAAATATAATAATTATAATAGTCTGATATCTGATGTTATGCTATGATCTTAGGTTTAAGGTTTAAGGTTTAAGGTTTAGTTTGTCTGAATACTGTGTCTCCTGCATAATTGCATATGTGTGATAAGTAGCAACGTTAAAACATCCTGTAATATGATGAATAAAATTATATTCCTGACAATCACTTAGGGCCATTTTAAGTGAAATTATTAAGGCTCCATTTGGTTGACACTTTTGCTATTTGTTTTGTTCTTTTTTTTTTCTATGAAAAAATAAGTAGAATACAAAAGGACAGATAACAAAAGTATGAAGCAAATGGAGCATAAGGGGTTCTTTCTAAGCAAACTGGTCTAGGACATGTGGATTATATCAACATTGTACAAGGTTTGAAGATCCTATTATAAATATAGCATGATCTACTTCTATGGCCTGTTTAGTTTGGGAACATTCTTTTTCCCTTTTACAAGGGTGTCTACACTTAGTTATTTACCTTATTCTTATTCGTCAGATATAGAGTAAAAGGGGAGATGGAATGTGGAAAACATTTTTCAAATCTACACATATCTGTAACTTCTCTTCTATGCTAATATATGGATGTGTTTGCACTTAAAGAGGTTGCAGAACAGGAAATATACCTATCCTTGGTCAGTAGCATTTATTTTGGGTACCTCTGCCATGTTTATCTCAACAACATGAATACATCATTAAAACAGTGTAGGAAGTTCAATTTAGGAGCTGAGTCTTATATTTTTGAAGTACAATGCAAGGTATATACTTTTTCAGATCTCAACTGTCAAATCAAGGTACTTATTTCTCTTAAAAAGCGGCATACCTAGATGTCCTGTCTATTTTTGTATCATTTTTTGTTTTCTCCACTTTGTGCTTCACACCTATTCCTCAAGCATTGCCATTCTGACATTATTCTCATGTTGTAAAATTCTCCTTTTACATCAATAATAGTAAAAGTATTACTACTAAACTATCAAATTTCTCGTGCTATGAAATTTTAAGGATTGTATTTCTAATTTGGTGGAGTTTCATGATTGCAGGTAGTGCTGGTGATGTCTTGGAAGATGATCCGGTTGGAAGGTTGAAAGTTTTTGTTTATGAACTTCCTAGCAAATACAACAAGAAGATTTTGCAGAAGGATCCAAGATGCCTCAACCACATGTTTGCAGCTGAGATCTACATGCATAGGTTTCTTTTATCTAGCCCTGTTCGAACCCTCAACCCTGAGGAGGCTGATTGGTTTTACACTCCTGTATACACTACATGTGACCTGACACCAAATGGCCTCCCTTTGCCATTTAAGTCACCACGAATGATGAGAAGTGCAATTCAGCTTATTTCTTCGAATTGGCCTTATTGGAACCGGACAGAAGGGGCTGATCACTTTTTTCTGGTACCACATGACTTTGGAGCATGCTTCCATTATCAGGTAAGTATTACTCCTTACCTTCCATTCTTCTCTATTATCGTGCACTATCTTGTATGATAATTGACATATTTTCAACTGATTGGCTTGACTATTGTGATTTCTTTTAGTGCCCCACTGGATTTTAGTCTTTTGGGTTTGTCTGACTGTTATCTGGTCTTGCTTTTTGAAAATTGATTTTCACCCTATTTTTGATTTGGAATAGATAATTACTTTTTCACATATGTTATTGCAGGAGGAGAAAGCCATTGAAAGAGGAATTCTCCCCTTGCTCCAACGAGCCACATTGGTTCAGACTTTTGGACAGCGGAATCATGTTTGCCTGAAAGAGGGCTCGATCACAATTCCACCATACGCTCCACCCCAGAAAATGCAAACACACCTGATTCCTGAAAAAACTCCCAGGTCCATTTTTGTTTATTTTCGTGGACTGTTTTATGATGTTGGAAATGACCCTGAAGGTGGTTACTATGCGAGGTATGTCTCACTATTGACTCGTTAATAAGGTGGTGTTTGAATGTTCAAAGGTCTTTATTTTTCTTATGAGATGTAAACAAAAGAAAAGTCATTGTGATGAAATACGGTTGCTAAAACATGTTGATCAGATCAGATGTTATGGCATGGAAATGAAGATATTGGAATTGAGGGCCTCCTTTCATGTTACTGAAACAGACACTATGGAGGACCATGTAGAAATTGCCATGTGTCAAATGAAAAATGATTTGACTGAAAATTTTCTTAATGCTGTGTGATGTTATTTATGGTTGCTTGCTGTAAGACAAATTTGAGCCTAGATACCTGAGTTTAGCTTGTTCAATGATTTTGCAGAGGTGCTAGAGCAGCAGTATGGGAGAACTTTAAGGACAATCCACTCTTTGACATTTCTACTGAGCATCCAACGACCTATTATGAGGACATGCAGCGAGCTGTATTTTGTTTGTGTCCACTTGGCTGGGCACCTTGGAGCCCTAGATTGGTTGAAGCAGTCATATTTGGATGCATTCCTGTTATTATAGCAGATGACATTGTTCTACCCTTTGCTGATGCAATTCCGTGGGAAGAAATAGGAGTTTTTGTCGATGAGAAGGATGTTCCCAATTTGGACACAATACTCGCGTCGATCCCTCCTGAAGTAATATTAAGAAAGCAGAGATTGCTTGCCAACCCTTCAATGAAGCAGGCGATGTTATTCCCCCAACCTGCTCAATCAGGAGATGCTTTCCATCAAGTTTTGAATGGACTTGCACGTAAGTTGCCGCATGACAAGAGCGTGTACTTGAAGCCCGGTGAAAAAGTCTTGAATTGGACTGCTGGCCCTGTAGGTGATCTGAAACCTTGGTAGCAGTTGTAACATCAAGTTCCTAAAACCTTTTAGCATTCTGCTCATTAGACCTACCTCTGAACATTGTTGTGGTTTATTGGTGTAATTGAGCCACAGATACAAAAATGTAAATCTTAATTCTGCCAGTATGCATTAGATATAGTGTTCTTTTTTGCAGCTTTAGGGTTGTCACTGTGCCTTGTATGTTTTCACAGTATTCAGGACTGGTCAATCTTCAATTCGTTCAGTTAACTGCATCATTGGAGGATGATAAAGATCTTTGTGTGGGTAAAATTTATGTCCAACTTTTCTAGGTGGTTCATATGAGAGAATATTATTACTATGATTTACATAAGCTGCAATGTGAGTTTGTTGTGCCTGTGACCTGTCCTCCTTTGTATATAAATGAAAAGCTGGCATGAAACTGGATACCGTGTGTGTGGATAGCAAGAAAGCGGCTGCTAGCGGAGAGTAAGCAAAAGCAAGTGCAGCAATCAGCGGCCGTCCATTCCGTTTAAAGAACCAGGGAGTCAGGGACCGAACCGGTGGATTATTGTGCTGTTCGAAGAGAACCAAGCACATTGGAAGCTGTGGTAGTTTAGATTGCTTGGTCATGAATCTGCTTTTCATTACACACACACACACACACACACACACACACAGAGACAAACGCGCTTATTATTAATGCAAATAATCAAACTTACCTTGGAAATTACTCTTTTGGACATCCACTCTCATTTCAGGCATTTATTCATTTGATTTCTTCAACTCAATGGTCATAAGGCTAGGGCAGAAGTGGAATTTGACTCCTTTGCATGAAAAATCAAGCCACCAAAAAATTTGTCCTAAGAAATACCATAAAGCAAGATAAGTTCAAAATACACAAAAAGTTGGGGTAGGGAAGACCTTGTGTGGGGAGCATGAAAGCCTCGCTTCCACATATTTTTCCAAACTACAGGATTAACCTGCGTCTGCCACTCTCTTATCTTCTCAACTTTTCTTTTCCATTCCATTCTGTTCCTTCCTCACTGCACAAAGCCTCTGTTAGCGAAGGGAAAGCAAAAGTAAGTGTAGCAAATGGCCCTGTGGGCTCCCATAAAATCCTTAAGGCCAGCCTCTCCACTTGCTCCCACAGGCAATGTCGGCCTGCGGGCACCCTCTGATCGTTTTGCTCTGAAATCAGCATTCTTTTCTACATCACTCCACCTCTTGCTTCCTTCTCCTCAGCAGCTTCCCACTGCTACTGCACCACGGTTTTCCATGCGTGTGGCCTCCAAGCAAGCCTATATTTGCCGTGATTGCGGGTACCTTACTATTCTTCTTCCTTTGCTTGTTGTTTCCTAGACTATTTTTACTGTAACTTGAATGGGGTTCTTGAATTTATTTATGGGATAATTGTTGCAGGTATATATATAGTGAGAGGACTCCCTTCGAGAAAGTACCGGATAGTTATCTTTGTCCCGGTAATCATTTTCACTCTTACAAATGAATTGATTTCTTGCTCTTCTATATTTAGATATAACAAAGGGAATTTGGTCTGCTATGAAACTCAAGCACCTTTATTAGTTCATTTCCCACACGTTATGTGGTTTAGCTAGGGCAATGCCCATCTCCTTAAGCAACTCTTTCTTGATTCTGGCCCCTAAATTATAAGTAGTACTCAATATCATCATCCTGTTAAGGTTCCAGTTCAGTTGGATATCATCCAATGATGTATTTACCATTGCCTTGAATGGCATTTTGCAGTTTGTGGTGCTCCTAAGAGGAGATTCAGGCCATATCAGCCTGCCGTGGCAAGAAATGCCAATGACACAGATGTTAGGAAGGCACGCAAAGAACAAATGAAAAGAGACGAAGCTATTGGGTAACCACACTCCCTCCCCACCCTTAAGCCTAGACCACTCGTTCGCTTGGCTTTGTTTTGCACTTTAGATTATTTTTTCTTTTCAAAAAAACAATATGAAAAGACACCTAAACCACTTGTTGGTTTTTTTCCACCACCACTCATCCTTTGATTTCATGGTGAACTGCTGCAGGAAGGCATTGCCAATTGCGATTGTGGTTGGAATTGCAGCACTTGCTCTCTTGTACTTTTACCTCAACTATACCATCGTGGGTTGAAAGAAAGCTAGTCAATCTATGAATGTCCCAGAGTTTACGGGATTATTCTTGTAATTTTGTTATAATTCTGTAGAATTTCTGTTCAATCCACATTTGTTACTTTCTTGGATCCCAAGAGCTGAAACTTCAATCCACATTTGAATGAAGCCAGCGTGTAAAGCTCAGCAATGGAGATGCAAAGTAATCTGAACTGCTAATTAACCCATGTAGCAGAAAATGTGAATCCAATCAACTCAATGCTGCAGAAAAAGATACTTTTTTGTGGGAAAAATGACATTGGTTACTTCTTGCCATCACTTTCCGAGCCGGAACTCTTTCCAACACGTTACATTAACTCCTGAATCCCGCACTTTGCCATATTCTGTGTGCCTTACCAAAGGTTTCACTGTGTAATGCATAATATTTCTTGTGTACAGCATTGTATCTATAATTACTTGACCCAAAATTGGCAAAGATATAACTAACAGTACAGCCAGCGAGCTTCACAAGAGCTTATGTAAAGGAGGTATAATTTACAAAGTACAAATGTGTAACAACAAAATCATTCCTGCAAGACAAACGAACCCTCTATCCTTTTCTCCATGGGCTCCGAGGGGGGGAAATTTAGAGGCGAAAACATACCATTGAAGCTAGAGGCAGGTGCCGGCTTGAACTCATAAGGACCTTCCTTCACTCCCCAGACCTGTAACAACCAAAACAAACCACATTTATTAGAGGCTTTCACACCATTGTCATGGAAAATAAGGTGAAATGAAAACCAAGACCATGAAAAATAACCTGATTTCCATCTTCATCATAACCCCTATCCCAGGTATGTATCTCATTATTCTTTAAAATTGAAAGTTCTGAAGTGCAGTATGTTGCTCCATTCTGGCAGAAAGGCAAAAAATATATATTAACTTCTAGCTAGTAAAACATCATTCACTGCAATAGAGAACATTCATCCTAACTACTTGTTACAAAAATAACCATCCACTGGAGTGATGCAAAATGAACCATGTCAATATCCTGGTCCCAACTTCCAACCTTGCTAGTTTGGAAAAAAAGTAACTTAAGAAACCGATAACATGATTGATAGGGAGGGGTATATACCCATGAATTTGGGAATCCACCTGGTGGAGTTGAACCTTCATATAAACAACGTTTCCCCCTTTCACAGCGTTTGAGATATATGGTTGTCAGATGTTCTGCAATATCCTGCGCATACAATATAATTTAACAAAATGTGAGATTAGCATGCCCAAATCTAGGCCATTGACTGAAATTTATGCAGGAGAATTGTTATAGCAAAATCACTACAATAATTATCCACCAGTTTCTGGCTTTAAAAAGAAAAAAGAGAAGGAAACCGTTTCAGGAGAGAGAGAGAGAGAACTAAGAATGTGAGCTATGACAAGGTAGACAGCCAATGTAAGCAACTCATGCACATAGAAAACTGTGAATATTTGCAAATTGCGAAAAATCAAAGAAATTGCATACATGCATGCATGCAGAAAAGAAAATAATGCGAAAAGGCTTACACCAATAACTTCTTCAGGCAGTGGGCGTTGATCCCTTGGGCGATCACAAAAATTCTTGTACTCCTCCACATCTCTAATTGCATATGAACTTACCTGTGGCCATAAATACAAGTTAAAAATCTGAAAGCTAGCTAGCTCCAAAGACATAATATGAAGGTAATAGGTGATCAAAGAAATATGTGAATGTAATAAACAAGAAGAATAACTATAGAGCTTTAGTTTCAGAATGCATTGATTATAAACCCCTCAAATATAGGTGAGAACGTTTCCTAGTGTGCTTCTCTTTCTCTTCTTCTTAAATCCTAAACACTACAAAATTCAGCAGCAGAGTAAGCTCTAATCATAAATCAGAGCAGAAACAAACCTCAACATCACATTTCAGATCTTTTGGACAAGGCTTCACCATGGCAAACCTCTGCAACCAAAAAACTGTCAGAATTATATGAGGTAAAGGTGTTCCACAGAAAAAAAAAAAAAGCAATGAAAGAGAAACACAGAGAATAAAAGCACAAATTTTAGCCTCTGGTTTTTCTAATCATTAAAACTTCACAACATGACTTACCTGCCGAAAGGGTTTCTGAGGAGTCCTCCAAAATGCCTAGCGAATGAAAGGTGAAAACCAGTAAATTGATGCATATTAACTGAAATTGAAAGATTGAAAATTGGGGTGTGAGTTGAACAAACCTGTTCGAAATATAAAACATTAGAACCATCCACCATCTCCGCTGCTGGGCAAGTAAGTGTTCTGCAAAGATAAAATTTCATAAATTCAACTGTGATAAGAGCGCCAGCCCAATACCCATTGCTGGATATAACATAAGTTATAACATAACCCAAGGAATGACAGCTTATTTCTTCTAAAGATGTATACTTTCAGTAATATCAAGTTCAATCAACAACCATTTGTATACTAAATTAACTTCCCTCTAGTACAATTTAGAAGCTACTGCTCAAATTAACTTCTTTTTTTTCCTATATACAACAAAAATAAGTAAATAAATAATACCTGATGTTGAAGTAATTATCTGGATCTCTAGACGCTTGCTCCCTGGAGAACTATCACCAACAACGAGAAACGAAATGAAATGAAATACAACAAAAAGGCAAAATTCTCTCTCTCTCTCTCTCTCTCTCTCTCTTTGCAAAAAAAAAAAAAAACTGAAAAGATTAAATACCTTTTCGCCACTAAGAGAACGAGCAACGATTCTAGCGTGGTCCCAGCGAGTGGTGGATTTGGTTAATCGCTTGAGCAAAATGGCGCCCCCAATAAGCACCAGAGTCTTCACTACCAAACCTCGAGCTCGGCTCCATCCATTCGAGTCCGACGCCGACTCCGACTCCGAACCCCTTCCCATATATATTTACAATTCCCCACAAGCTTCCTCACCTCATCCAAACACCCACCATCTTATTCTTACTCGGCCTTCTTCCTTTTTTTTCCTCTGCAAAAATATTTCGGGAGTTGGAAATAGGAAACTTTTTCGTGAGGTCCTCACTTTTTTTTTATTTTTTTTTATTTTCCTGACTCTGTTTTCCCCAGAAATGAAGCAAAAATTCTGTGATAAAGGGAGAGGATGGATTGGTATGTTTTTTTGAACTGAAACCGGGCGATGGAGTTTCGGGTGTCGGGTAGTATTCGCGCTGTCAGTGTTTGCCACGTCACTCCATGTATTTGTTTCACGGTTCTGATCCAGCATTTCATACAAGAAAACTTCCACTACTACATAGTTGGCTGGACTGATGAATTGTTCAAATTTTGTTTCTTTTTTCCTTAATTAGGTTAGTAAATGTTTTAACGAATTTTTTTATGTAAATTTTGTGCAAATACGATAATTTGCAAAATTACTAAATTCTCTTTTCTATGGAAGGAAAACTTTGATGCCAACACAACAAAAGATGCCTTCTTTACGCTATCATTGGGGTCTCATTGTTTTCAGATGTTTATCGTGTTCGATAAAGTCCAAAGCTCTAAATCAATTGCATTACAGTGGTAATTTTTGTATGTTTATCGAAATTGGCAGTGGATAAATGTTAACAAGAAGAGGACACAGCAACCAAGGATCAATGGCTAAAACCCCAGAAAATTAAGTATCAAACACAAAACGCACTCTTATGGCAAGATACTAATACATAATAGTAACGAAAATCAGAGTGTCATAGAAGCACTAGGAATCCCTTTCAACAGCTTCCATTGCTGACCACTCCATCCCACGGATTCAATCACAGGTTTCCTCTTCCCTTCAGCTTCCTCGAAACAGTAAGCAGGTGCCTGCCAGTGGGAATCCCCCAGGACTGCTCCCACTTCAAATGTCATCACATGAGCTGTGTACCCTACACGCTCCAAAAAGATTTCCAAATTCAAAATCAAGCATGGCAGATGTTATGAATATTGCTCTAAGTTAATACTATACCTGTGTAGAAGGCCCAGTAAACAGGTCTCTTAGTGATGACATCCTCGTAGTACAAAATGAAGTCGACCTTCTCCCATACATTGCATAGGAAACCATCTTCTTCTTGTTGGCCTAAATAATTGGCTCCATCCAGCCAATTCGGGCGGAGAATGCCGACAGGGAAATGCAAGACTCTGCATTCCTTGTTAGAGTCCAGACTGTAGATATAGGAGGTGCCATTGTCCCATTCCAGGTCGTAAACCAGCTTGCCCAGCTGGTTCTGGATAATGTTGAAATTGCGGCCGTTGGGCCAGTCGTACCAGAGGTCTACTTTCTGGAGGGTGCCGCTGTTGTTCATGAAGAGAATTGAGTGGAACTGGAGAGGCCATGCTGCTGGAGTTGGGTCCTTGGATTTTGATGCCACCAGGGAGAGATGGAATGAGATATATACAAGAAAGATGAAGATGGGTTTAACTGCAGAAGCCATTAAAAACTGATGAAGGAAAGAATAGCAACAGACGAAGCAGGCTCGTTGCTATGGAGAGAAACGAGAAAGCGAGGGAGAGGATCAGTAGTTTGAGGTCGGCATTTATCCACGCAAGTTCCTCATACTTTTTATTTGGGGTATAAGAACCCAAAATTTCTACAATTTCACTGTGTCTCCAAACATCAATATCAGTATTGAAGGGCAATTTTCATCTTTAACATTAATAGATGTTATTGAAGCCATCAACCGGGACAATTAAGTGGTTCGATGCATCAGGGCTTAATTCTTCAAAAATCAAAATTATGAAATTTAGCCATTTAGCCAATGACCTTTCGTCCCAACAGATTTTACCGTGAGTTCTGAAGTATGAAGGGTGCCAAGTCTAAGGTTCAAAGATCCACTAAGAACCATCGTTGTACCCGTGAATCTTGGGTTTTGAAAGAAGGGAGCAGAGGTAAGAAAAATAAGGATTTCATTGTTTAGAGGGGTACAAGATTTATGAAACTAAAGTTTTCACCGTTTGACTGAAGGAGAAAGATAAAGCGATTATTCCTAGTTGGAGAAGTGGAACATTCAATTAAGTACAACCATTTGAGAAAGCACAGAGGACAGACAAAACAAAGATTGAGCCACAAATTTCTGCTATAGATCAATTCATGAAAGGTCAATGACAAAAAGAGCCAGGGCTTCTTGTATCTTCAGCTTCATGGCAGCCGTGCAGCCATCCTTATTCATATTATAGTATACAGGAATGAAGAAACACATATTATGCACTTTAAGTTTGTTCTAAAATAGTAGTCTTCAGAACCTGCTATCTTAAAAACAATAGCAAAGCTACTGATTTCCTGTGATAGGGCTATCACGACCTTTCTTGATATGATCCCACCCTCTCACCCATGGCTGGCCAGGTGTTGCTCGTGTCTCAGGAGCAGAATGGCTGTTGAGGTTTTTCAAGACCTTCTCTTGCACTGCAGAGAAGACCTAGACAACCAACAAATCATATAAGAACACAAGAGAAACAAAGAAAAAAGAACATGGTGCAACTTTTATCTTTCAGACTATGTCTCACAGGATTAATGCTCACTGCCTCAGGTGGTTGTTCTTGACCAGTTAACCATTTCCAGAGGTCAGGGTTTTCCTGCTGAACAAAAATCCAATATTAAGACAATATGACAAACATTTGGACAACGAATTTTCAATTTGCCAGTCTTTCTCACTTTCCTCTCTCACTACACTGTTTCTTTCTTCTTCTTTTCTTTTTTTTATCACGTATGGAAAAATCAAGATGCCATTGAGTAGCATTTCTCAAAAAAATATAAATAAAAAATAAAAGCGGCTCTTAATATCAAATTTTTAGGTCTCTACTCAGCTGAAAAAGGCAAATGAGGGTGTATGTTTTGAACTATCGCAATAAATCCAAAACTTAAAATACTCTGATGGAGAAAGAGCATTTATAAAGGCTTTTTCATTAGATAGTTTCATATGACTTTATGGTTAGACACAAATGGTTCACTAGTTTTGTTCATATGTTCAGCAATATATAAGGTTTTATGCGAACATTTGCTGGAAAGCAAATTGACAGTGTCTCTAGTCTCAGCCGTGAATTTCCAGGGGACAAATCAATATCTTCTCAGTGACAAGAAAAGAAAGATTTGCTGACAGCCGCAGGTCAAGCTTAATTAATTACAAGCCAAGGATTACAATGGAAAGCAAATATTAGTCGCTGATAAGCCTAGATGGAACTGCAACAAACCATAATTTGCAAAAAGCAAAGATCAACCGCTGATAAGGCAAACTTAGCAAGCTAAAGGTTTATTGGCAGCCAGCCATGATCAACAGACATGAGATTTGTTATATCAAATTGACATGCAAATCATTTTACATGTTTAGTCCAAAGAAGCCAGTATAATTAGATGACATTAAAGACTTAAAAATCATAATTATCTGCCCGTAAGCTCATGTGGGAAAATATATAGCTGGTTCAAAAAGCTCTAAATTTTAAATCCATAAGAAGTAACCTTCAAAAGCTTTGGGTTTAAATTGAGTGGAAAACAAATCATGAATGTGCAGGTACACTTCAAATTGAAAGGAGTCAGATATAATTTTAGTCACAATCAAGAACTCCTTAATTCTACCATTAACATTGCAAAACCAAAGATATTGCTCAACTAGCAAGCACTCATGATCATCCACTATGGTTTCATATAAGTAACTAAAACCATGAAACAAACAAGAGAGTAGTTTGAACTTAAAAGCCTGTAAATTCAGTCTATAAGCAAACAAAAGTAAACTTTTTTTTTTTAAAGAAAGATGGAGAAAGAAAGAAGAATACCAAATCAAGGACATGAACAAGAGCTTTAATTCCATTTTCATCCATGGAATAGATGTGTTCCTCCACCCATTTTCCAAGAACCAAATCCAGTTCCAAAAACCCTCTCTGCTTGCTCCTATACAACAATCTATCAAAAATCCAAACACGGAATCATCAAAACGCTAGCTAAATTTTGTGATCAGAATAAAAAAAAAAAAAGGCACCCCAAGAGTAAAATAAAGAAAGATAACCTGTTAAACAGACGCCTTTTGCTTTCTTCGCTCGAGAGGTCGATGTCTAATGGCTGAGTGTTACTAATATTAGTGGAAGCAAATCTTGATACCCACCCATATTGTGGCCTGGTAAGAAAAGGAAAATGTTTCAAGAAAAAAAATAACAAAAGCCAAGCAAAGGTTAAAAGAAAAATAGTTTATAGGTACCTGATAACGATCGTAGTCCGACTGGGGACGGTGGAAGAATTAAGGATTCGGTGGGCGTTGAGAAGAGCTCTTCTGAGGGTGGCCATTGGCCTTGATAACTGATCTGGAGAAATGGGAAGAAAGAAAGAAAGAAATAAAAAAAAAAACGCGAAGGAAGTGGAGGGACAATAGTGGGCCTTCTAAACGCAAGAACTTGGCCCTGGAAGTCTAGTGACGGCGTCGTGGCCTTTTTGGATCCACATGGAATTTCAGGTCTGAGGATCCAATTGCTGGTAGTAGAATGGATTGGATGGTAGGTTGGGTAAATTGTTAAATTTGCTATTGATCAGAATACGAACTGAATTTGCTATTTGAGTTCAGAGTTTTTGTAACTAAAATTTGCTTTTGAGCCATGAAGATTGACTTGTCAGTAATTTTCTTTCCAACCTTGTTAGTCTTCCATTATCAAATGAGATTAAATGAGTAAACAAGCATAATTCCCTGTTCCAACCCTATGCAGCATACCTCCCTTGGAGGCACTCAATGAAACTGAGGCAGATCACCGCTAGTTACCATTTTGCTCCTAATTTATGTCAGCATCAAACCATTAACATGTCCTCCATCAGCATTGGTTATTACCGTCACAATTAGAGTGTTTTTCTTTTTTTTATTTGGGTCATCACTCCAGCTTTAAAAGAATAGAAAGAGCTAATTAGTAGTCTCAACATATATCTATTCTTCATTCTGAAAGATCAAATACAAAAGAACCCATAAACAAAAATACTTGATGAGCCTTAAACTAGAGCATCAGTGGTGGGAAGGAGCAATAAGCATATTTTGACTTGAAAAAATTACCATAAAATTCGGAGTAACTGTTTACACTCTGTTAAATGTGTGACCATAATCCCTTGAAGGTCAAACAGATTGCACCTTCCATGTTTTCCAATTTCCATTTCAATAATAACAGGTGCTAGCTCTCATCCGTCGGTAGTTACCACAAGGCAATTCTTTTTTGCCAAATGCAGGGCAGACAAACCTTCTCAAACAAGCTGCTTTCAGCTGTCTAAGCCATGAAATCTTCAAGAATAGAACGGATTCCTAAACCCTGCAATAGTTAGCTTCATTGCCTCAGAAGTTCACTTCCCGTCTCTCTGCAAAAAATTTTCCTGTTATTGCCACATCAGGAAGCAGGGCAAGCCAGACTCCAGTGTCAGCTGCATCCTCAGCTGAAATATTGCCTGCCCAACCTGTCATAGCAGTCTTCACCCATCCTGGGCAGTAACAGTTGATATATATCTTTTCACCTTCTGGCCGATCAGAGAGTTCTTTTGCCACCAGCCTAGTGTAAGCATTAACAGCAAGTTTAGATATTGAGTAGTCAGTGAATGTCTGAGGCCAACCACCTGATAGCCAAGTGTCATCTTCAACTTGTTGTAGGAAAGTAGACACTGTCCTATCAATCAGTTCCTCAGACAGAGTGTCCAAATTGTTTAGTTCTTCTCTCAAAGTTGCATCTTGAATTCTCTGTCAAAGAAAACCTAAAGTTAGTCTGCATACAAAAAAAGAAAGAATATAGTGTGAAGTGGTACCAAGGAAATTAAAGGCTAATGACTTCTTTCACTCCTTCCAGAAAAAGTAAAGTATTTGAAATGGAGATCTCAAGAAAATTATGAGCATACAAGGCAATTTACAGTCAGATGACCTTCAGCAATGTGTTGCATAAAAAATTACATAAATTCATTTATTCATACGCAAAATAATGGTGTCAATGAAACAGGCCAAGAGTCTAAGGTTCTCCTCCATCTGCATCAATCCCTCCCAGGTTAAAACTTCAACTTGAAAGCAACAATGCAACTGCTATAGACACATAACAAGTACATACCAACACTTGCCTCTTACCCAACAGTTAGAAGAATAGACATGCCTCTTTAAGTACGAGTGCATGGGTATGTCGCTGCACTAGAAGGCATAGCGGATGCAATATCTTCTCCCTCGAGGAAAGAGGGGAAGAGCAAGAACCAAAAGAAGTAAATAAATAGATCCAAAATTTATTCACATATGGGAAAAAAATGCAATGCCTATATTACAGAAGCAGAGACTAGACTCCAATCCTAAACAGAAGGGAAGGAAGATGAAGTGTAACAAGAAAAAGATTCCAGGAAGGAAGTGACCATGATTTACTAATTACTCACCTTAAAGACCCACAAATAATTGCACTAAGAAAGTAAAGAAAGATCACCAAAAAAGAAGAGAAAAGAGAGAAGAGCTTAGTAAAAAAATGTGGTTTGACTCTGTATATATGTTGAATAAAAGGAACAGAATCATTTACTTACATTGCGCCGGCCATTTAGTTTACCTAGCCGTGAGCTCACATTAACAATACGAGCACCAGCAGCAGAAGGTCTCATTAATGGTATCATTGCTTTAATCATACTTTTGGTGCCATAATAGTTGGTGTCAACTACCTGCTGTGCAAATTGCACAGAATTATCAGACCCAAGATTGTAGTTAACACCTGCATTATTAACCTGCAAAATATAAGTTTGCATGAAAAAATCAAGAGAAATACAAAAGGTTGGGCAAAGCAGTAAGCTAAGCTAAATGCTCAGTGAAAGAGAAAAACCAATCAAGAAGTAAAAACTAACATCAACTTCAAATCTCTAAAATGAGTGGACAAAAGATCAATGAATTTTCATCTTACCAGAATATCTAAGCCTCCATATTTTTCTTTTATCCATTCAGTAAACTCTGAAATTGATTCACGATCCAAGACATCGAGCTGATGGACATCCACATTGAAACCTCCTTCTTGTAAGACCTTGGCTGCTTCAATGCCAACACTAGTGTCCCTTGATGTTAGTATTACTGTCAATCCATGCCCGGCAAGTTGTCTTGCAATCTCAAACCCAATTCCTCTATTAGCACCAGTTACCACAGCAATAGTTTCTTGTGACCACCACCTATAAGGAAACCAAAATTGTAAATCTTTGCAAGACTGTTTGAATAGACTGTGAAATGAATTCAGCACCTCTCCAATTGTTCAGTCTATGCTTCTTTGAGTGCCTAATGCAAAGACAAAGCGTAACATGTATGGATAAAAAAAGTAAAGACTAGATTCTTCCAGTCCCATTGCGGCACCGGAGATGATCCATATTCTGCTATTATTAATAAATTGTTCCAAGTAATAATCGCACAGTGAAAAATGATGGTAAAAAGAAAATTC